CGAACGAACTAAGGTTTTGATATGCTCTTCCTTTCTAGGGGATATCGCTAGATGTAAGAAGCATGTTTGTACAGAGACTGAAGAATTTAAAAATACTGTTTCCATGTTAAAAACAATTCCATGTAAAACCCAAGAAAAAGTTTTACTGAAAATTTAAGGCAAGCAGTAATCGATTTTGCTTCAAAGAATCTTTAGTTATTTATTAGTTTTGTATTAGGTACTTACCTTAAAACAATAAATAAGATATTGCAAACTGTATTTTACATTATTTTGCCAAATTTTTAAAAACATCTGCCAAATTTTTAAAAACATTTGATAATGGTACTAGAGTATTTTATAGAAACTTGATTTAGAATGCTCAAGAAAGTTAAAATAATAATGACAATAACAAATGGCAGAAGTAACAAAATTATTACAGCATAATTTGTGTATCACCCTGTATGTAAACGAAATGTCACTTACATTGCACCTGGTATTTAAAGCTTGTCCTGTATGTTTGTATCCAAGAATTTTCAATCAGAATAGTGTGGAACTTTCACAAAGTATTTAAAAGTAAACAAAGAAATAGTTGGATGTGCACTAACAACAAAGGTTTTACACGCGTTAAACACTATCAAATCGATTTTTTTTAGTAAGTTTTCCAACACAAGTCTGTGTATGTATTATTTGATTATAATACACACCACTACTGTAGCAAACTTACTGAAATTCAATGTACTAGACATGACATGTTAAATATAAACAGTTCTCTTCAGAATGTATTGGTGGTGGTAGGTACTTCTTGTAGAGTGCAGAGCCGTACTCCGCTTTATTTCACATAACAGTTTTCCCTAATTAAAAATAGCGCCTAACATCTGCAGATGTGGATGTTCAGAAAGTTGGAAACACATTAAAATAATAATAATAATAATAATAAATAAGACAGTACTTATAAAAAAAAGGGTGATATTGTTTATGAATTAACATCAAGAATCTTTACAGGAAAACCGTTATGATGATGCGGATGTTCCGAATTATTTTCCTGCAGTATTCTGCCCAATTTATGACACGTGTCTTGAGTTTTCTAATTATAAATCACAAATATTATTTATATAATCTCACATAGAATTAAATAATTCTTATATCAAAGCCACATGGTCATTAAATATAATTTACAAAATTACCAAGTTAAGCTTAATACAGACGTGATTTTGTAAAGAAGGCTATTTTCAACTAAATTATTTATAAAATGTACAATAATTTAAAATAATTCCTTCTATCTTCAATACCAGGAAATAATCAATGTCTCTACACGTGTCTAAAAATATAGCGGTTTAAAAATATGAAATCATTAAATTTGGAAATATCTACATGTTTCCATGACGCTAAGTGACCTTTTAAATACACATTGACAAGTTGTGGCTTTACGGCGCTTTAGTCACGGGCTGAGGTTAGCAACAGGTTTTTAGTCACGGGCTGAAGTTAGTTTTAAGTTAGTTGACAGTTGTCAAATGTCATACAATCGTTAAAATAAAGTGCCTTTCTTGTAAAATAATACTAAATGTGAAAATTATTTTATTATCTCAATACAAAAATACAAAAATATTAAATAGTTTCTCAACGCCAATATTTGAAAAGTTTATATGAACATTGTACAGTTGTATTCAATAAAAAAGCGTACAAGAATTAGAATGAGAGAAAACTGTCAAAATAATATTATTGCTTAAAACCGGCTTATCACTGACATAAGTCATTAAAATAATTACTATAGGTTATAAAGAGCGTAGGTTAATTAAATAATATTACAAAAATTATTAATTTTTAATATAGATTTTTTATTTCTATTATACCACGGTACGAATTGACCATTCTTCTTCGATTCTTGATACTATTTGAGCCTTTTTAACTGACGAGGCATTTTTATTTTCTACTGTCAGTTATAGTGACTTAAGTCAGTGGAAAGCCGGTTTTACGCAATAATGTTGACAGTTTTCTCTCATTCTAATTCTTGTACGCTTTTTTAATGAATACAACTGTACTTACCTTTTAATTTCGCCGGCAGTAAACTATAAATTAAATTCGGGCACGGACTCCACTGTAGTGCTCATAAAATATTTTCTTTACTTTCACTGTGAAAAACTGTCAATTTTTAAGAAATACATTTCGATTTATAACTTTTATAATCTGTGTTTATAAAATAAAAAAATTTGACATTTGACAGTGACACAGATTCCCCTATTGTTTCATAGATGGCGCTCTATACAAATTTTTGATTTAAATCATTTTAAGATAATAATAAGTATTTGTCGTAGAAAAAGTGTAACATGCACCTCGTTTATAAACTTTTCTATACTCATTAATTTAAGCACTCGCTCGCAAGCTCGCTCGAGCCTAACATTTTTAACTAGTTTGTTTATCTTATAATGTTAGGTGCAGAAAAAGTATAGTTCCTAAATATAGACAATATTTTACTATTTTGTTTATTTTTTAATAAAATGGGAATCACAGCATACTCATAGCGTTATAGTGTTAATTAAATCAAATAGTTGGCTAAGTACAAAGTATTATTATGGTTTTTAATTAGGTAGGTATTGCACTATTATTATCAGTGATAATTTATCACATAAAAACAAATAAATATTTACCTCTTAAATAATGTTATAATTAGCAAAATACCTCAAGTAAATTAAACGCATTTCAAATCAAGAGCTGTGTTTGTTGAAACTTGATATATTTTGTAATTTTGAACGTCTAAATTAATTATCTTTTTTAAACAATATTTAATCAGATCCGCCTTGATATTTTGACAGGATTTAATATAAGCCCGGGTAGCTCAGTCGGTAGAGCATTGGACTTTTAATCCAAGGGTCCAGGGTTCAAGTCCCTGCGCGGGCGAAATTTTTTTTTTCTTAATATAAAAATAAATTAATATGTAGAATTTTTTAATGTAAACAAATAAATAAATGTGTTACGTCTAATTTAATTTAGTTTAATTAATGTTTTTTTCTAGGAATTTAAAGTAAATAGGTTTAAGTAGTGTTTCTTGACATTGTTCTAGTGAAGGTTTACTTAAATAGTCTAAATTGTTCAATAAAATCAGGACCGTAATAATAAATATATTTTTGTTTTTTTCTTTGGTTTCCAGAAAAAACTTAATAAAAAAGACTTAAAGGTTAAAAATTATGCAATCCACCAAACATTTTAAGATTAAAAAAATCTTCACTTTAAAGCACTAAATATTTTTTACATGTCATTTTTAACCTTTTCACTTGGTGCATCTCTGGATAAACAAATTAATTAAATTACTTGAAAGAATTCAGGTTAAAAAATACTTAAAAATCTTTAAAGAGTTAGTCATTTAATTTAATGACACTTGTTAAATTAATTAAAAGTAATTAAACAAAAATAATTACTTGGATAAATAGAATTTACTTTAAAAAAAATTAAAAAAATTCTATTCCATTTTTTGTTATTGAATGGGTCTTAAAATTCCTCAGTCAATGATAGGCATGTCAGAAAGGTATTTTAACGAGGTGTCAATATTTGGATAAGGATTTAAATAAATTCGCAAAATAACTTCCGTTTCCGGAATTTTTTTAATGCAAAAATGTGTTAAATTTTTAAGATTTTGTAATATTTTATCGTAAAATAGTATATTATGTATCAAGTTTGATAAACGCCATTATTTTTATCTTAAAATGATTTAAATCAAAAATTTGTATAGAGCGCCATCTATGAAACAATAGTGGAATCTGTGTGTCATCGTCAAATGTCACATTTTTGTATTTTATAAACACAGATTATAAAGGTTATAAATGGAAATGTATTTCTTGAACATTGACAGTTTTTCACAGTGAAAGTAAATAAAATGTTTTATGAGCACTTTACAGTGGAGTCCGTGTCCGAATTTAAGTTATAGTTTACTGCCGGCGAAATTAAAAGGTCAGTACAATGTACATATAAACTTTTCAAATATTGGCGTTGAGAAACTATTTAATACTTTTGTATTTTTGTATTGAGATAATAAAATAATGTTCACATTTAGTATTATTTTACAAGAAAGGCACTTTATTTTAACGATTGTATGACATTTGACAATTGTCAACTAACTTAAAACTAACTTCAGCCCGTGACTAAAGCGCCATAAAGCCACAACTTGTCAATGTGTATTTAAAAGGTCACTTAGTGTCATGAAAACATGTACGATAAAGGGCGTTTTAAAGGTGGGAGTAGAAAAAAAAAAATTATAAGTTAAAAAAAAATAAAAAAAAATTGCGCCCGAGCAGGGACTTGAACCCTGGACCCTTGGATTAAAAGTCCAATGCTCTACCGACTGAGCTACCCGGGCTAGTGAAGGTTATGTGTCATAAATAAAAAGTGTAGAAAAATACAATTTTATAAACTAAAAATAAAAAACATTGATGAATGCCAATATTCTTCCTGTGAGGATAAAATAAGTAATTTTAGAACCAAGTCACCTTCAATTTGGTTTCATAAATTAATGCAGCTTTTGCGCATATTATAACCCGCATAATATAAAATATTTACCGTGAACCTTATTTTAACAATACACCAGGAAGTTGATTAAATAATTCAAAGACAAATATATATTATAGTTTATTAAATTACTGAATTTTTAATTAAATTTCTTTAAAATATACCTACATGTATTTTCAATACATTACGCAAGGGTATGCAACCCAGATTACACGTTTTCAAATCTAAATATCCATGACTTTTTGACGTTTTAAATGTTAGATTTTTACTTACCCTTATGTGGAAGCAGAATTTAATAACAATAATACACGTTTGACATTAAAACAACACAGTTTAACACAATATTAATTGGTTTTTATTTGTATAAAATATAAACGCTTTTTTGACATGTTTTAAACAAAACACAAACTAAACTGAAGTTTTGCCAACATGAAGGCCTAAAAATGTTGGTGAACTGTCAAACAGTGTTTTGATTTCAGTTTTTGTTGGTTTTTTAAATAAATTAAAACACAATGTAAGTACCCATTAACTTTATTAATTTATCCTAAAAATAATAAATATATACACTTAACAACTAATTAAAAATATTACATACATTTATTTACAAGTAAAATAATAATAAAATAACTTAAATTAACGGGGTTTAAGGAATGCAAATAAATTTTTTGACTTATAAAAATCAGTCTCAAATTTAAGTACATTAATATTAATAAAGAGGTAAACATAAAAGTTATAAAATTCTAATAAATTAATATTTAACATTGGTTTTTATTATATTATTATAAGAGATTTTTTAAAGTCGATTTCAAGTTGTAAAATACTGATTTTTGGTAGCTTTGTGTGATTTTGATATACAGGGTGATTTAAATAGTCGAGATTTTTGTTTTTAGGGAATGTATCCAAAAAGGCATCCTGTTGTTTTTTGTACAAACTGGATGATAACAAGTCATTTTAAGTTAACTAACCTTCAATATACATTATACAAGGTTTTTTCAATAAATAATAAAAGTGCGCCATATTGTTACGTCACGATATTTTGACAGATGTCACTTTTGACAGTTCTACTATTAGTGAAAAATCCCGTATTTTGGTAATATCTTAATGTTAGCTAATATCACATTTGCCGCCGTTAGGTCACAGTCATGTTTTTTAAGTTTTTTTTTAGTAAAAATCTCATCCCAGTGTATCGACTTTTCTCTTTACTTGTTGGTTTGTAAGTTTTTGTTTTAATTGGAGGTAGTTGGTGAACCTGCTTACCCCATATTCCTAAAAAATGAAAAAGTGTAATGATGGTTGCCTAATATAATTTTAAGGCGAAAACTTACGCTATATCCAAATGGAATTTGCGAGGTATTGACATTGATAAAGGCCCAAAGAGTCCAGAAGAAGTGGGATGCCAAAGTGAAAACTTCAACCTCTCTGAGGACTTTTTTGGGGCTGTCTTTGCACCCCCTCTCGTTTAGGTACGTCTTGATGAACCTTAGCCTTTGTTTTTCTGAGGGGTAGTTTTCAGAATTTTCCGTGTAGCAAGGATATTCGGATTTGGTGTAGTCGTAGATCCATTCCACGAAATGGTTGGCAATGTCGAACGACCTGTAGTTGTACGAGCAATATTCGAAGTCTAGGGCAAAAAAACAAAATTAAAAATGTTCGGGAGGGCTTCGATGCCATTTTTATATATGGGTCGTTTTCAAAAAACACCCGCCTTCCGCTGTCCGTAAGTTTGAATTCCAATAACTTTGTTAAAAATTATCGGATCTTATTGATTTAAAAACCAAGTGAAAGCCTAACAAGCCCTTAGTAAACTCTTTCAGAAATTGTTTGTTTAGTTATTTCAGAATAATTTTTTTTTAATTTTGAAACTTGTGAAACACATTTTCGCATGTCCCATTAGCGTTTTATAAAACTTACATACATGTTTTTTTAAAATATTGAATAACCAGAACTTTGTGTTGCTTTATAGCAATCCATAACATCCTTTGTTAATAAAGTAAACAATTTATATATAAATTAATTAATTTTAATCAACTTTTTTTAAATTTGACTCATGTCCCAGACATTTTTTCCGTTGCGTTACGTCCGTCGCGTTACCGATAGAATATTAAAAAAAAAACAACTTTTTTGTCACTCACGTGATCAACAAATGATGTTCGGACGTACACATTACCCAGCTGACTTTATTTATTCAATCAGGAAGAAGATATCGGTTGAAACAGGTGCATGTAACGCGAATGTAATAATTGTTTGACCGCTAAGTTACTCAAAAAAATAATAAAAATAAGGTAAGAAAAAATACTATTTCTCATGTTTATGTTTATTTTAGGGCACCAAAGCTCATTGAGAGTAATTAATGACTGTAATGTCTTATTATTATTTTTTAAATATGGTTTCACAAAACTTTGGCCACTGCGTTACTGAGTCCATTACGTTACCTTATGGTAACGCAATGGAATTTAGGGTAACGTAATATAATTTTTCGACAACAAAGTGGATATTTACCGTCGCTTTTATTAAAAGTAGTTTATGATAAACCAATTTAAAATTATTTGTGGTTACAACTCATGATATAGATTACATCCAAGGGAAAATTCCACGCAATATACAAGTACTAAAAGACACCAGCTTATAGTCAAAGAAAATGGGTGTCTATAATTTAGAAATCTAAGTTGTTATTCTGCAAGTGAGCACCACTACAAGGGATTTTGTTTATGTGTTACTCTAAAATCGTACCACCCTATATAGTTTCTTTTTTACGTTATCTGATTAAGTCCTTTGTGTACCCCAGTCCGTTGCGATACCAATGTCTTTTTCGTTACTTTTTTTAGTTTTTGTTAAAAAAATCCTTAAAATGATTTTACTAATACCTGTTTATAAATTAGAGTTTAACTCACTAATACAGTGACTAAAAGAAAATATTAATGGTATTGATTTTTTAACAAAGAATCGGAATGGTGTCTTTTAAAAAGTAACTTAACTAACATAAATATTTAAAAAAGGCTTACAATTTTTAATAAAAAATAAAATTGGAGTCAAAAGTTTGTGAACTAAGTACATTTTATTTCAAATTATTTTTATAACAACTTTTTTTATTGAATTAAATTTTGGATTTCAAATTGGTAACACAGTGTAGACATATATATGTCAATAAAGCTAGCTAAACACATTTTTCTGAAAAAAACGTAAAAAAAATTAAAAAGTGCACTGCCTGTCTTAAATGTAAGTAAACAAAACTAAACATTTATAAAAATCCAACCAAAAGTCAATTTAAGCAACAAAAAAAATTGATCTTCATTTTCCTGAAAGCGGGTGTTTCTTGAAAATGACCCTTATATATCCCTGCTAAACTCGACCGTTATATTAATTTTTCATTACCTATAATAACAATATTGGGTTCGTTATTGTTTTCTTTATCGGAATCCTGGCTCATCAAAATATTTCCTTCTTGCATGTCGTTGTGACAGAACAATACGGGCGATTTTTCGGCTTCCAGTCTTTGTTTCAGCCATACGGCTTCTTCCTGAAGGTTGGTAGACTTGACAACGTCTTGCACGAAATCCGGCAACTCTGTTAGTTTTGTGTCGCAGATTTTTAACCAACGGTTGATGGTGTCCCACAGCCATCTTGGCGATTTATGCAGAGGCACCTAAAATTTTCCATCGTTTTGTAATTTTTTTTTGTTCGTTTTTATGGAGATTTTTTTTAAACTAATAGCATGTTTTTTGCAAATTTTCGTTGTTTTCTTTTGTTTGTTAATTGGGATGATTTTTTGTTAGTTTACAATATTAATTTTTTTTATTTAAAAAAATTTCTACAATTTGAATATATCTATCAAAATTAATACTGTATTTATGTGATGGTTTTTTGTAGTAATTAATGCAAAATTCACAGACTAATTATTAGTAGTAACAAATCAATTGATGACGCTCAAAAGTTGGGTTAGGTTTTAAATGTCAAAATTTACATCTCAAGTTAAAAATGCCATCAAGTTTCTTTTCGTAAAAATCAAATTTTGTTAAGAAGCTAAATTTTAGTAATTTTTTGTATTGGGTGAGTATATTGAGATGTCCCCCAAGTGAAAATGGCTTCACGGAGGTTAGGATTTCGTATGTTTAAAATAAGTTATTGTATCTTTTGACACCTTAATAGTTTTTAAAAAATACAATTGTACATACATAAAATATTTATAAAAAATATATTACACTTCACGGTGGATAGGTTTTTAGTTGGCAAATTAATGAACTTAAACTTTGAATTATAAAACAGCAACACTCTCATCTGCATATAAATTCTAACTGACCTTCAGGAATCACATGCATCTATAATGTCGTTAACAGAGGTTTTTGCTTATTTAAAATGATTAAAGCGCCATCCGTTGCATAAAATTTAAAGCAAAAACAGATTCACGGAGGATAGAATCAATTTTTGTAACACCTAAGTGAACTGATATTTTTAGTATGCTTTTACTACCTCAGATATTTGAAAACATATAGGTTAACCTAGAAAGAGTAACAGTCACGGAGGATAGGTTTTATTAAATATCACGGGGTAACACCATCGGGGGACATTTCTTGAGATTCACCCTATTGTGTTTTAAAATGTTTTTGGATGACATAAAAACTTTAAATCAAAATTTGACTCCTACTAGGTATGATTATGTAAATGAAAAATGGAATACTTTTTTTTAAATAATTTTTTGCAAAAAACATGCTTATATTATTCAAATGTTATGAATATATAGAATCCTACGGTTCTTTATCCGATTTTCAATTATTTTTGGAGACCCCAAAACATCAACACGTGTAAGTGTGGCACCACCGCATTTATTGATGATGTTTTTCAATTGTTTTTGGCTAGAACAAAATAACAACCCCATATGTGTGACAGATGACAGGTTTACTATGCCAGCCCATGGCAAAAAATTACATTTAAGAAAAATTGTGTTTTTTTGGTAAAAAAAACATGGTTGTGTCAAAGGTCAAAATTTTGTTGTAAAATATTATTTTATTTTTACTTATGTAATTTTTCCATACTTCTTATAAACCAATTAAAATGCTTTAATTAAATATATGATGAATTGGACATGCACAATGAGGTTATATCAATATTACTAAAAGTATGAAAAAATTCCATGTTTATAATTAATGTGAAATTAACTGAAAACAATTTATCGCTCATAGGAAAATTTCTATTGTCTTTACATAGATTGTAGTTGACCCTTAAGTATAAAAAATATTTTTTCTTGATAAGGCATAGTAAATGTAAATATTTGTCATGTTAAAATCACATTAATTATGGATATATGTCAAAACATTCCTTATCAATACAAATTTTTACCAAAATCGGTCAACTTTAAATACAAATTTCAACTGTTTTTGTGTATATATGTTGTTTAATAGTTTGTTGAAGTATGCCTTGTGACCACTCGTTTTACAGGTTTTTTCATGCACAATACGAATATGAACACAAATTTACTCTAACATTAATGGTTTTCAATATACAAAAAACATGTTCAAACGTGTTTATTTGTTAAATTTTGACGGTAACTATGGCTTGCGACCATTCGTTTTAAAGGATTTTTTGTATTGAACACAAATATAAAAACAAAAATTAATAAAGTTGACCCTATACAATTTATTGATATATTACGTATGCATATTTTAAGGAAAGTTTTTTTAATTAAGGTCATAAGTGCTTGTTTAATTTATCGGTCGTTTTTGTGAATTTTTTGTTTGATTTAATTTCGAGTTTTTGATAATAATATTGAACTCTGGACAAAATGTTATCACTTATAAATGGTATGTTATTATTTTTATGCTTTTTATAGTTCCAGACGTCAAAGTGAAGGTAGAATATTAGGAGGAATATAATTAATATTATGTACAGGAAATATCTGGGATTGGGTACTTGACCTTATTATTGAAAGTGTTTTGTTTTTGTAATATTTAATAATAAAAGATAGTTTTTTATTTTGTTTATGGTAATTTTGTTATTCAGTTAAATGTAACGGAAATTTTCAATCTATTTATATATGCACTTGTCCTTATAGAGAACCAAGTAAACATAATTTAATATAAAATGCGTTTTAAATCTATGTAGTACGCAGTTTAATTATAATTACATTATTATATCCTGTATTTTACAACAATTAAGTATTGAAAATAATATTTTAAATTTGCCAACTAAATCGTTCTACTATCAAAAACTCATGTGAGTCAGCTAAAAACAATTGATAACTTAAACAAGCACTCATAGGTTATGATAAAAAATTGTAGATAATAAAATAATACTTTAACAGGAATACTTCATAAAAACCATGGGCATAACATTTCGTACAAACAATAAAATAATTTTACATTTCAATATAAAAGAATCTAATATTTAGAGTTCAAATATTTGATCTACATCACCCAAAATGTGATAGTGAAGAAATCGGTCGGTAGATGGGGCTGTTTGCGTCACCGGCACTGATGGGTCCACTTCTCGGCTTACGTCAATCTTGGGTGATGTAGATCTCAAAATATACAGGGTGTTTTGTTACAAGTATCTTTTATATGTCGATGTAAAATTATATTTTCAAATCAATAAATAAATAAAGTAGAGTAAAGTAAAGAGTTTACCTTGCTTCTTAACGCTTTTTAACTATGCGCGGTAACTATTAAGCCTAATTTATAGATTGTCTTCCTTCCTTCCTCCCTTCCTCCCGTAAAAGATGAACTATGCTCCACACCTCAAAGTCCCACCACGTGACCACGTACGGAACGCAGTCTTTTGTATATTTGGCATTTAAGGCTTTTCAGGTTATGCATCTGTCAAAGTATAGTCAATGAAAGAAATAATATTTATAGTGTTACCGCTTGTGTTTAAGCGTTAAAAGTTAATAAATCTTTATAGTATCACAATAACAATGGTTGGTTTAAGAATTTAGGAATATAAATACTGCATTTAACGAAATTTCAAAGTGTAAGTATTTTTGTGCATTGGGTCTACATTTCTCCATAAAATAGTTTTAACTAAACAGCATTTATTAAAAAAAACTTCTCTATTATGAAATAAGAATATCTGTATCAAACGTAGGTTAATGTATGAGAACAAAAAATATCATCTAATTTTGTATTTTAAGGTTAGAAAAATCTATTTTGACCAAAATAAATAAGTGGATTATTTGAAAGAGTGTGTTAATATGGTCATAAATAAATATAGGTATACTAAATAATTGTTGAATATAGTTCAAATTAAATTGAAGCTTTTATACTTCTAACTTGTGCATACCTCTCAGCATACTTACTTTAAGTTAGATTATAAGAAAACAAACAATTTTTAGAGAAACTTGCTATGTAAAAATATTTAATACTCCCATGACATGTGATTTATTAAAATTTTTAAAGTTATAATGATTTTTTGATGTAGATCAAATTCAGTCGAAGCTTTTTAACTATTTGTATTGACAAAACTTTATGTAGGTACACTTTAAGCTGGATAAGAAAAACTACCACATTTTTAAATACCATATTATACAGTCTTTTAAATAATCCAAAATACTTATTTATTTTGGTCAAAATAAATTTTTATAACCTTAAAATTACAAAATTAGATGAGATTTTTTTAAATAAATGCTGTTTATTTAAAATTATTTTATGGAGAAAACCAGATATTTGGACCAAATGCACAAAAATATTACTTATTTGGCACCATACACTTTAGAATTTCATTAAATGCAGTATTTATATTCTTAAATCCTTAAACCATCCATTGTTATTTTTATGTTATAAAGATTTATAACATAATATTATTTCTTTCGTTGACTATACTTTGACAGATACATAACCTGAAAAGCCTTAAATGCCAAATTTTCAAAAGACTGCGTTCCGTACGTGGTCACGTGGTGGAACTTTGAGGTGTGGAGCATAGAACAATATAGATTTCCGTGCGGGATTGTATTGTCTCTTCTACGGGAGGAGGGAAGGAAGGACGGAAGGCAATCTATAAATCGGGCTTTAGGTGTATTTAAACCAAACTGAAAACCTTACCTCCATCGAATGAATAGTGGCCATTTTTTGGGCGATTTGCGTTGATAGTTTTTCGTCTGCTAGCTCTTTGGTCTTGAGAGGTCTTGCGTTGATGTACTGTTCTATTCTTCCTCCTGGGAAGATCCCGTGCAGTTTAGGTCCAAGGCCACGTTCGGAAAGAAGCGTGAAAATTACGCTGTCCGTTATCAGTGCTTCCAGAGCCTTCTCCTTTTCACCGTGGGTTTGACCGTATACTCTTATTAGGACTTCTTTGGGTTCGCTCTTGCATTTCCCTTGTTCTATTACGTGTTCCGGTAGAGATATGTGGTACAGCAAGTTGGATAGACCACCACTGAAACAAAAAATACATTAATCACTTGAAACTATCAAAAAATCATAGGGAGACAGATCCGGTGACCTCGCTGGCCATCAAATTGTACCTAATTGAACCCTCTACAACTTTCTTTTGTATAGTTTTGGTATCGGCTCAGTAGTACAAAAATCCATAATCCATAATGACTAAATTCACATAAATCACACCCAAATAAACCACTTACAAAAGAATCATAAAATAGACAAACTCGTAGAAACAGAATGAACAAAATATTGCGTAAATAACCACATATTTGTTCTTTAAACAGTTCAGAATTTTAAAACCTAAAGAAGGAATCTGTATTTATTTTATTGGTTACTGCGATGGCTACAAGATGGCGATAGTGTTAAGATATGTTTATTTTAGAATAGAAATATAATTTCGATTAAATCGATTTATTATAAGTAAAATAATACCATTTATAATTGAATTTTGAAAAACGTGTGAAGTATAATTTAGCTAAAATTCCGCAACAGTGTTGCCACAACACCTGCTTATTTCCTTGGATGTAGGCGTGCCTGACTCGCGTATGCTAATACGAGAGAAGGAGACAACTATGATATCGCATTGTAATAGAACGAGACAACAAGGCTAACGCCAATCGCGAGTCTAAATTAGTTCAGGCATGCTTCTGAGCCAATCATCTAGCTATAAATATTAGTTTAAATTGCGGTCGTTTCAAATTCAAATAATTTAAATGTTGCTGGGTATTCCACGTATAAAATCAATCAATTTTATTGACTATTTCACAATTCATGTAATCCAAATATTTAAATTATACTTATTTTTTTAATTCTCTATAGCCTTCGATTGCTGGTGAAAACGTTCTCCGTGCTCATCACTTACGTCGCCCAGATTGTGCGGGTTATTTACGCACTCAAACTCTCTACTTCTTTTACTCATTTTACACTTTTTATTGACTAAATAAAACCATGATAAAAATACCTTGTTGAAATATCAAAAAATAGCAGTAAAATGTCACTATGCCAACACGAGAAACAAAAGAATTCACGTTTGCGGAGTCATGTCAAATTTAAATCTTGAATAATGTTTTCGATGAAAAAAGTACTTAAAAAACTCAACAAATTAAAATCATGCACTTTACTTTGGTTTTCATTAAAGAATAAACATATTACAAAATAAAATAAAAATCGTCAAAAAGCTGAATTTTGGTCTTCCGCTAAAAATTCATAATTTCGCCATTTGTCCATGTATTTTTATCAACATTAGCTTGTTTTTTTGTAAAAATGTCAGCTTCACGAAAAAAAATTCAAACTGGAGTTATCTGTTTGATTTAAACCCTTCCCAGGACGATATGTGAATTTTCGACCTCAATTTTTGCCATAATAAAAAATGTATATGGTGGACAGAATTTTTTTTCGATTTTTTAAACTAGTGTTATTATTGACTAATTCCTATATTTGGATGGATTATTTATTGAACTGAATGACTGGAAATCCCCTTTACATTAGCATTCTTTTTAGATAACGAATAAACAAAACAATAATTTAATAAATGTTTTTTTAACATTATCAATTTTGTTATGTTATACAGGGTGTTTCTCTTGGCTTTAACCTAAATGTTATATCAAAGCTTTATTACACTCTCTTATATAGTGGAAATTGATTGATTGACAAAAATTAATATAATAAACAATAAATATTAATTAAAGGTAATATCAGCCAATTTTTTAAATACCTTTACCTATATCAAAAAACGATTGTTTTTCAAATAATATAATATATTTGTGATAAATATCTGAACAAAAAGTAAGTATTTTTTGTAATATGCAAAGCGAATATGATATCATATATGTATACCTAATGTTTTACTGGTTATTGCATTTCTTATGATCACATGACAATTATTCATTTATGGGTGATTCTACAAAAGTTGGACAACTTGATGTCATTAGTCAATAGAGTAGGTATTTTAATATTTTTTGTAAATATTTTAGTATATTACAAAAGATCCATGTTTTTTTAACTTTTCCACCCAATTTTAATGTATTTTTTCAAAAGCACGTTTGTAGAAAAACATAATAAATATTCAAAACATCAGTACCTTGGCGTGTCACAACTCCTGAATCAAATATTTGAGTGGTTTTATTTTAAAATATATTCAATTTATCTTAACTTTTTCAATTTCACCACAAACTATAAAACATTAAATAATGTATTTTTCATATTTTATCATAGATTCAAATAATAGCAATTTTTAAAAAATTGATAATCTTTGTACTCCCTTTTACCCGTCAGTTCTGTGCCCAATGTTAAAATTCAAAATTCCTGCGAAATATTGAAGTTTAAACGTCAAGTCCTCGTTTTAACTCAAGTGTTGGTAAAAAATTGCCTACAGAGTCCGCCCTTTGCACGACAGTCATCTTGAAAACAATGCAAGCGGCGAAGTTGTGGTGAATGCACGTATAGTTCCAGTCAAAATTTCAGTACTGTGGTGAGTAGTTATTTTCTTACGTATATATATTTCATTGTAATTATGTAAGGCTATATGTGATTTGTTGATAAGTAGCATCCACTAATAAAAAATATCAGTAAAATACTTAATTCCGAATTATAATCTCAAATTTGTATCCCATTCATCAGTACCGTGTCGTCAGTTCCATGTTCGATGTTTGGGTTATCTTTTTTTCAAAAACTTCAATTTAAATTCTGCTTGCGCAGAACTTGTTTATTTAATGTCATTATAGACTCATATAAATTTGGTGTGGGTCCCATATCTAATAATTGAGATATCGGTGTACCCAAAATCCACCAGCCGCCACTGATGTGTGGTATTATTTGATTTTAAGATATTTAATGTATAATATGCTCAAAGTTGCAATAAATCTTATATTTTCCAATAAATTAGGTATTTAATTAGTACCCTGGTATACTCGTCAATTCCCTTGCATTCAAATTTAGAAAACACACATATTTCAGAAACTGTTTGAAAATTAACGCCTATTTGTTCAAAATATTTTAGAAAAATAGACTTAAATGGATAATAAACCTATTTAAAATTGAAAATCGATATTTTTTTTTGTTCCCCAGAAACTTCTGATGGACCACGAATGTGAAACACCTTGTATAACTATATTAAAATTGCATGAGATTTTCGATAGTTTTAAAATTCTTGATGCGCAGTTGAAATTACTAATGTATAATATTTGCATTGGCATTACAAAATCATAAAAATATTTGACTGCTCATATCTGTTGTCTTTGTTTATTTTACTTTATACAGCACGTGAAACGATTTTATATCGCAAAATTATGCAAATTATGTCTAAAACTTTTCTAGTAATTATATTATTAAATATTATGTTCTCATCCAATGTGATGATAGTCAGTAGGTACACAAATTTATCTGAAAATTAGGCCTCGTTTTTTGCTACTTAAGCAATTGCTTATACTGATTTCAATTAATTGTTTACTAAAATTAAAACAATTGAAGTGGAGTAGTAGATAAGTTTTTCCACAATTGTAACCTTGTAGGAACATATTTACAATTTATGTACACAGTGAATGTAAAAGATAAGAAAATTTTATATTAGTCGAAATTTCACAATACCTACATAAAATTTTTCAATATTTTCAATTAAATTAAATTATAATGTAGGTATTTGACATTTGAAAATAAGTTCAAAAAATTTTCTTGTCACGTATTTTCTTAGTGAAAATCCTATAAAAGGTATGATTGAATGTTTAAAATATAAACAATCTGTTTCCGTATTTTTGTTTTATTATAAACAAGGCCTGAACAAATATAAAATATTGATTTAAAAAAATATCGATAGAGTATGCGAAATCTTAAATTTATTTAATATTATTTAAATATATGATATTTATTCAAAATATGGAATTTTAAGAAATTCGCAAAATTAGTTATTCTACAAAAATATACATGCAATAGGTACATTATTTCCTTAAAATTAAGATAATAGCCCCTAACCTAATTTTTCTTAGCCTTGTTCTGTTTTTGTAAATTTTAAAAATTTAGAACAAAATTTAAAAATCTTGAAAATATTAAAAAAAATTGTGCAGTTTTCAATTATCCAATGTTGTTTGAATTTGGGCAGTTTTCAATTACACGAAACATTTATTTTAATGTGCAGTTTTCATTCACCCGGTTTTAAATAATTTAAATGTCGGGGCAGTTTTCAATTATCCAATTTTGTTCAAATTGGGGAAGTTAACAATTACACGAAACTTTCATTTTAATATGCAGTTTTCATTCACCCGGTTTTAAATAATTTAAATGTCGGGACAGTTTTCAATTATCCAATTTTGTTAGAATTTGGGCAGTTTTCAATTACACTAAACATTTATTTTAATGCGCAGTCTTCAATTACCCGGTTTTAAATAAATTAATGGCGGGCAGTTTTCAATTACCCATTACATATATGTATGTATTTGAATGTGAAGTTTTTAATTTCCCGGTTTTACCAATATTTTCTTTCAAAACAGTCATTTAAAAAAGTTGTAGATATTTCTTTATCTATTTTGCGTTCATAATGACTTCATTATAACACCGCTTACTGTGCTGTAATGAGATACTTTATCCCACCCAAAATTTTGATTTTATAGGTTGGCTATACTTTAAACAGCATAATATTTTGCATATTGATTATAATATTTTTATGATTTTTCTAGTACATACGAGAATTTTCTGGCAATAAATTTTGTTTAACACCAAAGAAATTTTTTTCTTCTTTAACCTTAAACCGCTTATTTTAAATAAGTAAATTAAGGACGGCGTGGCGAATCGATTTTGACATTAACTGTCAAACCAATGACTGTGATACCAACTATCCAAAGTAAAATTCGACCAAATTAAGGTATAAAATTAATTTTTTTTATGGAATTTGTGCAAAATAAAAAAAATAGCATAAAGCACTCATGTCATAAGACCTTCTATTGTTCCTTTGCCAAACATGAATTTTTTAGTTCTCACATATGTGTTCAAATAAATTGTACAGAACTTAAAAATATTAAAATGATATATTTGATATTTATATTAATTCTTGCTACAATTTCTTTAATTGTTCAACTTATCTTAAGTTGATAAGATGACCTGCCTTTCCATTGTTTAAAAGTGGATATACTATTTTTAAAACCGAATATTTCCAGTGTTGAAGTTCCTATTAATAAATAATTATTAATGAATTAATTAATATTTCATATAATTCCTATATACTTTATATTATATACCAATATTATCTCTATTTACTGACATTCGTAAGCATAAACATGTTTGTATTAATACAAGTTACTGCGTCATTTCAAAACATAGCGAACATTTCTGTATAAATAATATTTACAAAAAAGTTTCTATGGCAATTTTTAACTCTAAAGTTAACTTAAACCTTAACTCTATATAATTTACCAAATATGGTTATGTACAGTTAATATTTTTTGTAAATATTTTAGTATATTACAAAAGATCCAGGTTTTTTTAACTTGTCCACCCAATTTTAATGTATTTTTTCAAAAGCACGTTTGTAGAAAAAAATAATAAACATTAAAAACATCAGTACCTTGGCGTGTCACAACTCCTGAATCAAATATTTGAGTGATTTTATTTTAAAATATATTCAATAGATCTTAAATTTTTCAATTTCACCACAAACTATAAAACATTAAATAATGTATTTTTCATATTTTATCATAGATTCAAATAGCAATTTTTAAAAAATTGATAATCTTTGTACTCACTTTTACCCGTCAGTTCTGTGTCCAATGTTAACGTTCAAAATTCCTGCGAAATATTGAAGTTTAAACGTCAAGTCCTCGTTTTAACTCAAGTGTTGGTAAAAAATTACCTACAGAGCCCGCCCTTTGCACTACAGTCATCTTGAAAACAATGCAAGCGGCGAAGTTGTGGTGAATGCGAGTATAGTTCCAGTCAAAATTTCAGTACTGTGGTGAATAGTTATTTTCTCCTATATATATTTCAATTTGTATAATATGTATGCCTTGCATTCAAATTTAGAAAACACAGATTTCAGAAACTGTTTGAAAAAGTGACTGGCCCGGTCTGGAACAGTATATTTATTATATTATCTGTGTTCTCATAACAAAATACTGTTTAATTTTCTCCGAAAACTATATAAACAAAATGAGGTCAAAAGTTGCCCAACTTTTGTAGAATCACCCATATATATATTTAAAACAAGAAATGTGGCAAATAAACAGACAAATCAATTGTTTAACACTCTGTATAACTCTCTTAATAAAAATGCCACACCTGGCATGTTTGTACTCATTTTTCAGGATTTTTAACGAAGATTTCAAAAATGTCAACCAATTTTTTTTATTTGTTACACTAAGGGAGATAGTGGTACTCACCTAATGTGTTTAAATCCAATTGTTTGGGCTGTGACGGACTTCCAAGCTCCATGTAAGTAATCACGACAAATTCTAGCGGCCAATTCCTTCATATCAACGCTGTCTCCGGTCATCTGTCGATTAAAAAAACTCAATAAAGAATTTGCATAAATATCCGACATCAATATTTAATATGTTTTAAGATGATTATTTAGGCCTTATTTTAACAGGTGCTCGCCTGTAGACGTAGGAACGACACTGACGATATTTTGCGCGAAAAAATCAATACCAAAGAGCATGCGTTTGGGTAACAAAACGGACAAATATGCGTTGAGATTTATATTAAAGTTTTGTATATGGGTCAACTATTAAAAGTTGAAAATATGTGTCACGTTGCCTCATTTGTTTGTATTATGTTGCAATAGTGCCTAAGCACCATTCCGCGCGCTCACCGATGAAACTGAATATGTTTAAACAATGTTGTCTATAATTTAAAAAATAATATTAATAAAATATATATTTTCAACAAAAATATGACAAACATGTATACGACTGATAAAAATCCATTGACCAGGTCTAGACTCTACCCACAATGTTTCTTGAATTGACGGTATACAGGTCAACAAACAATTTGTATAATCTCTTACATTATACTAGGTCTAAAAATAGAATTTTACCTGGACTTATAAGAACGGCAGTAGTTATAAATTGATTTTACGGTTCTTTTTTAAAAAAGTTATATTTTTCAACTATTTGTTTTCGACAATATACAGGGTGTATTTAGATGCAACCTAACACCTCAATAAAGACTACACTGCGTTTTACGAAAAAAAACATCCCTAAATGCTCAGAAATTAAGAAATCATTAAAATGCTTCAAGAGATAAGTACTTTTATCTCCACGCGGTCTATAATTTAAACTTTATTGTTGTCAACATTCGATAAAGAAATAACTTGTTATGGCCTAGGCCGATAAAAATTTTTATGAGGCAAGTAATTAGTTCGATTTTTTCTCGCTATAGGGGTATTGTTTTGACAAATTAATCCTTTTCTAAGAAATTAACGTACTAAACTGGTTTAATTTATTTATAATAAGCACTAATTTGTTTGTTTTACTGTTAATGTTTATTATTTTTCATTAAATTATTGTAAAATTAAATATGAATAATAAAACAAAAAGTGAGGTTAGGACATTGCAATTTGACGTTTCTGTTGATTTCACAGTTGTGTTTTCTTTTTCTATGATTTAAATTATCTTTAAGTTTTAATTTGCTTTAAGTTTTCAGTGAAATTAAATGTTAAACACAGCGTAAACATTCCAAACTACCTATTTTTTAAATAAAAATGCAAACAAATTGAAATTAGATACCTACATATTAATTAAATAATTAATTGAATTCAATGTAATAGCAAGAGGGTAAGTAAACCATTTTCTTACAAAAATCCATTTCTACTTAAATCATGTAGCTAGGTATTGTCAAACTATTACTGCTTCTAAAAGGAATAATAATTATTGTACATTTAATGAAATCTATAGCTAATAAATAAATAATTCTAAAAAAGTGAGGTTAGGCCGCCTTCATGTTGAATTAAATTGACCTATATAAAGTGCTTTGAAGATAAAATGTTGTATGCCATTCGGCCAAGAAGTGTCTTTTTGTGCTTCGCTCAATTGTAGGCCTCCGCTACGCGTCGGCCTTCAAACTTTGAGCTTAGCACAAAAAGCCTTACTTCTTAACCTAATGACATAAATAACTATTATTTATTAATTTATTGGACAATTTTTTTATTTTAACATTTATTAAAAAATAGTATATTATGTATCAAATTTGATATTGTGTTTTGATCTTTTATAATTAAGTAGATATTACAGCTCAGGTTCCAGATTTTTAACAGCAATTAATTATTTTTTACAATGTTTTAAAATTCTAAAACCTATCCTCCGTGACTGTTACTCTTTCTAGGTTAACCTATATGTTTTCAAATATCTGAGGTGGTAAATTGAACACATCCACATAACCATTTATGTAGGTGTTTCAACAAATTGATTCTATCCTCCGTGAATCAACGGATGGAGCTTTAATTATTTTAAATAAGCAAAAACCTCTGTATTATAGATGCATGTGATTCCTGAAGGTCAGTTAGAATTTATATGCAGATGAGAGTGTTGCTGTTTTATAATTTAAAAGTTTATGTTCATTAATTTGCTATTTAAAAACCTATCCACCGTGAAGTGTAATATCTCATTAAGTAGATTTTTTTATAAATATTTTATGTATGTATGTACAATTGTATTATTTAAAAGTATTAAGGTGTCAAAAGATACAATAACTTATTTAAAGTTTTTTCAAGAAGCGTGTTACCTAAGTATTTTGTATTATTAAAAACACTTGAACAATTAAAGCAATTACAAATTATTTTGTAAGTTTTTTTCCACAATTCCTAGGATGATTAAAATGTATGATTCAACATATCTTACCACCTTGTGACTTATACGAATCTTTATAAAGTAAACAAAAATTGTTGTTCGTTTAATCCATTGCACACATTTTATTTTTGCTTAATTTGTACTATAAAGGTAGCTGGAAAATTAAATCATAAGTAAACTATTTCATATTTTATCTATTAATCATTTAATTTTAATTACTGCACTTAAGTAGGTATACATACCACAAATATTTTGATACAATATGTAATTTGGATTATGTAATAAAAAATTAATAACATTTTATTTAATATTGTGTCATATTTGAACGGCAAATTTTGCTCTTGTTTATGTTAAAAAAAATAAATTAAAATAATTTAAAAAATAAAGTTATTTTTTATCTGGACTACTAGATGAGTAAAATCATATAAAAAAGTAGTTAAATATAGGTGACTACAGCCAAGGAGCGGAAAATAATCTTCGCTTTGAAAAGAATTTATATAAAAGAAATTAAAATTGTATGTGAACATATCGATATTATATAATAATTAACAAGCAAATTATCAATAATAAATATGACTGTCAATTTGACAGTGTCAGAGTACTTAATTAATTTAATTTTTTTAAATACTAAAAATACTAAATCAAACTGGCATAAGCTCTTCTTTTGTAAAAAATAAACCTTATTCTATCAAGGCTGTCAAATGTCAATTTGATGGTTACCATAACCCACGAATTAACCTTAAAATTTACTTAGGTAATCTATTTTATATTTCAGTGTTTATTTATTTTTTCCCAAAGGTAAATAATAAATAAAACAATCCAGTAGGTATCAACTGGACTTTAGCCTATGTTTTTTATTTCGATTAAAAATACAAGCACCTGTGATTAATCATCGAAAAAAAGAAAAACAAATGAATGAATGAATGGTTTTCACGTTTAAATAAAAAATATAGCATTTTAAAATAGCTTTATATATAAAATAAAATGAAGATAAAAATGTTACTGTTAGTAGCAAAAAATTGCGCAAAATTTATTTTGCGATTACCAGGATATTTATTAAGTGGTTTTTTATTTTTTTATGTTTTACTGATAATGAAGTAAGTAATCATGAATTTCAAGAGTGTTAAATAATTACTTTATGTAGGTGTTTACATTATAATGACGTGGAATTTCAATACACAAAATGTACAGGATGTATGGTTTTCAGAGCACCCTGTATATTTTTTTTAAGTATCTCACCTTTTTGGTAGTAATTAACGACATCTTTTCACTTTAAAAAACACAAAACTTAACACTTAACACTCCTTCCCTTACTATGTTTATTATTAAATCAATAAAGTTTTCTAAATAGGTAGTTCTTTTTTTAAATTACAATCGCAAAAATCACGCACTTGGCATAGATTTTCAAAATAGGTTGCAAAACTAAAAAAATTATATAAAAAGTCAACTTTGGTTCGATCGGTATAATTTCTCTATACGCGTCTGTATACTTTCCAGTTTCAAAAGCAAATGTTCCTCGTCTATCTATAGCCGTCTACCGTACTCCACAATCAAATGACGTAAATAACTGAAAATCGCGCGCAGTTGCCAGGTTTAACGGCGTCTAGACGCGCCGTTGCCAAGTTGTGCGAATAATCTCGAATACACAGTACAAAACTACTAAACTACTTAAAGTGTTTTGCGACAGTCGCCGGTCTCTTTATATCACTCTTTTATTACTAAGTTACCACTAAACTGGGGAACAATTATTAAGTTCCAAAAAGGTAACAAATATGTCACTAGCTATAAACCCTGCTACTATTTGGAACGTAGCTGCTACGTTACTAGAACGTTTCAATATCGTTGCTAGAACGTTATAATTACTTTTATTTATTTGTTTTTACTTCTATATTAACTGTCTTTGTCAAACTTATATTAGATTATACTATCCCTCCTTTTTTAAATGGAACCACTACGGACTTGGCTTTTCAATGTCGTCGTTTATTAAATATGTACTGGTAGTTTATAACTTCCAGAATAACAATATAATGCTTAATTAGGCATGTAAATTTATAAACCCTTTAAATTTTATTGTTGAAGTTTTTGTAAAATAAATGCACTTCCTCAATATTTAAGTATAAACAAATTATTTATTTAATAATGTTAATAAATAAAAAAAGCTTAATATTTATTATTAATTTTTTATTTAATTATTAATACCGTCATTACCAACAAAATTACTATTTAATAAAAAGTAAACAACCATTTACAAACAATTAAAACAATTTATTATTTACATTACCACGTGGTACTGTACAGTAAAAAATGGCCGATAAGAAGCATTTTCCTTTGAAGTAGTTTTCGCTACTTTAAAGTTTTTTTCCACCTTAATTTACTTTACGGTAGTTTTGGTTAGTACCATAAACGTTCCAAATACTAAAATAATAACTTTTAAGTTATTAAACTTTGTAGTTTTTAACTCATATGTTCCAGTTTCGAGATTTTAACTTGCAAAGGGACTACAAAGTAAAAATAATTTTAATGTAATCTTTAGGTAGCAACCGAAAGTAACTGCTACAAATTAAATTTACTTGAAAGTTTTTTTTACTTATAACACCTTTTTTAAAGTTGCAAAGTCTTCTTGGGGGCAGCCAAGTTTTACTTAAATGTTTATTACTTTATAGTAACCATTTAAGGAAAGAATGAAGTTTCTGTTACAAAATATTGCTATTTAAAAGTTAGAATTACTTTTAAGTAAAAATTAAAGTAGCTGTTTAGTATACCTAACTAATTTAAAGTTATCACCACTTTAGTAATGGTTTTTGGAAGCAAAAATGCTGCTAAAATTGCATTGAAATCCCACACACCCAGAAATCACAAAAGTTCTTTACCAATGGATAAATGTATTTAACAGAAAAATCGTTCAAAATCGAATTGTGTAAAAATAGATTTCCGTCCGATATTTTCAAGGTTTTCCCGTATTTTTAGAAAAATTACGTAATTATTTTTGTGCAACGGCCTCAGCAGTATTTTGACCTGGTTTTAGTTACTTTTTGACGAGTTGCCAAAATGCAAAAGAAATAATTCACTGGTCAACACATATTTAGAGTTTTAGTAATCAAAACAACAAGTTTGACATTATTTGAGATATTTTAAAATTTTCAAACGGAGTCAAGTCCGGCGAATTTGCGGGCACGTTTTTCTCACAACAGCCATTAGATTAAAAGATGTTATGTCTCAAATTTTGGTAATTATTGAGCAGATAATTAAATAATTTTAAAAATTAAATAAATGAAATCTGACATCTGTCAAATGGTTAACCTTACTTTTTACCAATTTTAAATGTAATTATAGTCGCCTTCTTCCAATTTAAAACTTGATTGGTTCATATCACTGCCCAAGCAACAATTTAAGTATTTGTTACGTATATGCATATGCATGGGACTATTGAAGAAACTTTAAAGTGTTTTGCGACAGTCACCGGTCTCTTTATATTACTCTTTCATTACCAAGTTACGACTAAAGTGGGGAACAATTATTGAGTTCCAAAAAGGTAGCAAATATGTCACTAGCTATAAACTCTGCTACTATTTGGAACGTAGCTGCTACGTTACTAGAACGTTTCAATATCGTTGGTAGAGCGTTATAATTACTTTTATTTATTTGTTTTTACTTCTATATTAACTGTCTTTGTCAAACTTATATTAGATTATACTATCCCTCCTTTTTTAAATGGAACCACTACGGACTTGGCTTTTAATTGTCGTCGTTTATTAAATATACTGGTAGTTTATAACTTCCAGAATAACAATATAATGTTTAATTAGGCAAGTAAATTTATAAACCCTTTAAATTTTACTGTTGAACTTATTAATTTAGTTTTTGTAAAATAAATGCGCTTCCTCAATATTTAAGTATAAACAAATTATTTATTTAATAATGTTTATAAATTAAAAAATCTTAATATTTATTATTAATTTTTTATTTAATTATTACCAACAAAATTACTATTTATTAAGAAGTAAACAACCATTTACAAACAATTAAAATAATTTATTATTGACATTACCACGTGGTACTGTATAGTAAAAAATGGCCGATAAGAAGCATTTTCCTTTGAAGTAGTTTTCGCTACTTTAAAGTTTTTTTCCACCTTAATTTACTTTACGGTAGTTTTGGTTAGTAACATAAACGTTCCAAATACTAAAATAATAACTTATAAGTATAAATAATTATAATGTAATCTTTAGGTAGTAACCGAAAGTAACTGCTACAAATTAAATTTACTTGAAAGTTTTTTTATTTATAACACCTTTTTTAAAGTTGCAAAGTCTTCTTGGGGGCAACTAACTTGAACTTGAACTAAGTTTTACTTAAATGTTTATTACTTTATAGTAACCATTTAAGGAAAGAACGAAGTTTCTATTACAAAATATTGCTATTTAAAAGTTAGAATTACTTTTAAGTAAAAATAAAAGTAGCTGTTTAGTATACTTAACTAATTTAAAGTTATCACCACTTTGGTAATGGTTTTTGGAACCAAAAATGCTGCTTGGGTGATGCCCAGAAAAAACAAAATTATGCAATATTTAGGAGTAGATAAAATGCATTTAAACTGTATTTTTTTTGTACTTACCCAATATTATAATACTACACAAACACTTATGAGTGATATACAGTTCAATTTAAAAAATATATGTAGGTTAACATAAGGTCTAGAAATTTTTTATCTAAATAATTCAATTTATTTATTAAATAAATTACATTATAACCTGATAAGATAGATTACTGACGTAATCTTATAACAAAATAACATTTTTTTATTGCATTTTTTATACTGTCAATATATTTTTTCTACTCCCACCTTTAAAACGCCCTTTATCGTACATGTTTCCATGACACTAGGTAACCTTTTAAATACACATTGACAAGTTGTGGTTTTATGGCGCTTTAGTCACGGGCTGAAATTTAAATCATTTTAAATTAATGTTTTGGGTGGATAATTGAATATAGTCTATAATTTCCCAAAAATAATATACCAGCACTTTTATACTACCAACTTTATATTTGCCAATAAAAATTGTTTTTGTTGTCCAATTTCAAAATGAAATAATTAACTTTATCTACAATTTCTTAAAGGCAAATATTTTTACAACTGTTTGTGTAAAAAGTTTACTTACCTTTTATTTATTTTGGGATTTAAAAATGTTACAAAAAGACAATGAAAATTTATAATTAATTTATTTTATAACTATATTTCATAAATACAGGCGCAATTGTAAAAACAAAAAATAAATAAAACGAAAAACAATATAAAATTCTCAGCACAATTAAGATAAAATTCTCCAAAATAAAATAAATTAAACGTACGTATATAATTATCAACCAAATAATTAATTCTTTAAATTTTTTTAGTCTATTTTGCATAATATCGGGTACCCTGTTTGAGACCGAATTTTTCCGAATCGAATCGCTTTTATATCGAATTTTGTGGGGCAAAACTCGATGCCAATTTGTTTCGGAAGATTTTGGTATCACAGGGTGCTCCCTTAATATCGTTTTGTATTTCATACAGGGTATATATTTTCAACATTGCATACGACTAGTAGTTCAAATTCTAAAAAAATAGAACTCGAAAAATTATTTTTTTTTTGACTAGATCATTTTATAAAGTTTACGAAAATCAATGAAATCACCATTGATTTTAGTAAATGTTTTTTTTCTCCATAGGCAAAAATTAAACTACACTAGGTATTACATAATGTGCAAAAAACGGTTTTTTAAAAGTTTTTTGTAATAAATAAAAAATACCTGAGATACATATAATATACGGGGTGTTTGTGAAACACCGCATAAAAATTAAAAATGAGATTGTCGCCAAAATAAAAAGAAATTATTTACAGATTTTTTTAATCTTCTAAAAAACCGTCGGAAACCGTCAATTTTTGCCAAAACTTGTGTTCTTAAAAAATGCCTATATTTTCTAAAATTTCACACTTTTTTCAATGAAAAAATCGTACCACTTTTCAACAAAATCTTTTTCAATAATCAACAATTTTTTTTTAATTGTTTAAAATGTGGTATGAGCGAGTCATTGGTTATTATTAGAAACGCTATTTTTAACATAAACAATTTATGTTATGTTAAAATATACAGGGTGTTTTAGTATCAGTATTTTTTTAGAGATTTCCATAATATTCTAATATGTATAAATGGTCAAAATTTGGTATGCATTTATATTTACGATTATTTGAAGTATTTTTCTGTGTTGCAACAGACATCTGCTTCCGCATAATGAAACCAAAAACAAGCCATTTAATTAATTTTGTATATTAATTCAATAAAAATAAATTGAAATAGACAATTAAAAAAAATGTATTTAAACTTATGCATTCACTTCCGCATCCGTTTTTGTTTAAATACCAATAATAATAATAATTAAGTTAAATTCCTTGATTTATTTACCAAATTTTTGTTTTTGTTTCTTTCATATCTTGAAAAATTTGTCAAATTTTCCTTAATATCTTTTAAACGAAACATGATAGCGAAAAAATGGAATGGACAAATATTTTATGAATACACCAAGGAATCTAATTTAATTGACAAATTTAAAAAATGTTCCGCTTCCGCAACACTTCCGCAACACTTCCGCATCCGCTTTTGTCCCGCTTCCGCTGTTTCCACTTCTGAGTATTCTTAAATAATAATGCATACCAAATCTGGACTATTTATCGCTTAAGTAGTTAAAATACTGCTACTAAAACTGGCACACCCTGTATACAAGATTCCATTTTTTCTCTCAAATATTCATTTTAATATTAATCCGCGATATACATTCAACAACAAAATTCAACAGAACAAAAAATTAAATTAAACAAAAAAAAACACTTAAAATATTTAAATCACATTTTTTTGCCAAAAAAAATGGCAAAGTACATTTAATAATATTAAAATTAATACGCTGATTGTTTGCATTACACCGACAAAAAACTGTCAACTGTCATAACGACAAATTAAACTAAACGTCAATGTCAAGTTTTCAGCCCTGTGTGTTGTTTTGACGTTTTTGGGTCAAAACACCATACAGGGTCTTATCTCGGGCAGCGTTACCTATATAATTAAAAAAATGGCAATCAAAGTGACAAAATTTATATATTTTTTTTTAAATTTCTTGTCAAGAGAAATTCTGAAAAAGGCAACATTAAATATCCAATGTAGATATATAGATATATACATACATTTTGTTTTTCTTTTGTTCCAGCCCCCCCTTTTTTCGATTTAATAAATTAAATATACCTATAGCGCGAAAAGCCCATCATCGTCAAGCTTTATATATATCGATGCAATTATTATAATAAATAATCCCAAAAAAGGGGGGCCGAATCAAAAAATTAAAATCATTATTTTAATTTAATTAATACATTCTATAAGTGTAGTGTAATGGTTTAAGTCCTCAAAATTTTAATATTTTTATTTAATAACCTCTCTATTATATCATAGGTTTAAACCGTCTTGTTCGTACGTTACTCTCTGAAGGGGGCTCCCCCCCTGGTGGAGGGGGCGGGGGGCCCTCCGAAGACTCGGGGGAGCTCTCGGGGGCATCTATGAGACAGCTGTTAATACCCCTCACTTTCAAACCTAAAATACCATCACATTTTTAAATTATACTTTTTAAATATATTATTAATATTTTTTAATAGCGGTACATTCTGTATAAGCGAGTTTGTTAAAAACACAGCAGAAAATTATATATATGGGTGATTCTACAAAAGTTGGACAACTTGATGTCATCATATTAATATTTTAATATGTTTTGTAAATATTTTAGTATATTACAAAAGATCCAGGTTTTTTTAACTTGTCCACCCAATTTTAATGAATTTTTTCAAAAGCACGTTTGTAGAAAAACATAATAAATATTCAAAACATCAGTACCTTGGCGTGTCACAACTCATGAATCAAATATTTGAGTGATTTTATTTTAAAATATATTACATTTATCCTAAATTTTTCAATTTCACTACAAACTATAAAACATTAAATAATGAATTTTTCATATTTTATCATAGATTCGAATAGCAATTTTTAAAAAATTGATAATCTTTGTTCTCACTTTTACCTGTGTCCAATGTTAAAATTCAAAATTCCTGCGAAATATTAAGTCAAGTCAAGTTCTCGTTTTAACTCAAGTGTTGGTAAAAAATTACCTACAGAGCCCGCCCTTTGCACGACAGTCATCTTGAAAACAATGCAATCGGCGAAGTTGTGGTGAATGCACGCATAGTTCCAGTCAAAATTTCAGTACTGTGGTGAGTAGTTATTTTCTTACGTATATATATTTTATTGTAATTTATATAAGGCTATATGTGATTTGTTGATAAGTAGCATCCACTAATAAAAATATCAGTAAAATACTTAATTCCGAATTATAATCTCAAATTTGTGTCCCATTCATCAGTACCGTGTCGTCAGTTCCATGTTCGATGTTTCGGTTATCTTCTTTTCGCAAACTTCAATTTAAATTCTGCTTGCGCAGAACTTGTTTATTTAATGTCATTATAAACTCATATAAATTTGGTGTGGGTCCCATATCTAATAATTGAGATATCGGTATACCCAAAATCCACCAGCCGCCACTGATGTGCGGTATTATTTGATTTTAAGATATTTAATGTATAATATGCTCAAAGTTGCAATAAATCTTATATTTTCCAATAAATTATGTATATAATTGGTATACTCGTAACTTCCCTTGCATTCAAATTTAGAAAACACAGGTCCTGGTCTGGAACAGTATATTTATTATATTATCTATGTTCTCATAACAAAATACTGTTTAATTTTCTCCGAAAACTATATAAACAAAATGAGGTCAAAAGTTGCCCAACTTTTGTAGAATCACCCATATATACTGTGGTATGTAATTAATGTAATGTATTATAAATTTTAAAGACAGAAAGAAAAAAACCGATGAAAAAATAAATTTTGTGGTTATGGAGTTTTTAAAATAGTTACAAAATTTTCTAATCAGCTGGATGAGTAAAAAAATATATTACATTAATTACATAAGAACTTGTATACTTTTATTAGATTATAGATTTTTTATTATTATTTTTTTTTATAGATGAACCTTTTGGTTTTAAATTAATTATTTTATTACGTATATTTTAAATTTTATATTTATGAAATTAATTCATTAGTACTAGTAAAAAATGGTTTGTGAACTGAAATAGTAAAAATGAAAAAGTTTTATTATAACTTGTTTGAAAATATGCGGTATGAAAAATGAATGATCAATTTTTCTTCGCTGAAAAGCTTACTATTATTAACTAGTTGGGGAGAGGAGGATTCGTTTGAATCGCTACTAGATTCGCTAGATTCTGATTTTTTTGATTCAGAACTTTCTTCAGTCACCGTTATTTCGGGGAATGTTTTAAGATGATTTTTTTCGTGAAGAACCCTTAAGGTGCTTAAAGTTTTTGAGGGGAGTGTATCTGAAATGCGCAATAAAAATGACAAAGAAGGTTTTCACCGGAAATTATAATTTGGAAAAGTAACTCTGACTGCCAAATTTGGGCTGCTGATTTAAAAAATGCCACTCGTTTTGCTCCAGGACGTCTAAGATTCGAAATAATTGCGTAATAAAATGCTCTGCCCATTATCTCAAAATGTAAGTTTTTTGTTAATATTTTGATTATTTATTAAATTATTCTGCCTTAAATCTATTTTGGATGTTCATTATATTTTTGACGTTTTTTGTCAAAAATATACAGGGACTCCAATAAATCATCGGTAGATAAATGTCAAATAGAAATTTTGTTTGTTCCATTGTAGCAGTATACTATAGTAGTATTTTATAAGGGATATTTAATAAAGCACTTTTCTGCAGAATTTATTCACATCATGCCTAAAGTACCCAAAAATTTAATCTCGAATCTTATTTATTAAGTCTTATCAAAATTTAATTCAAATTGAAGTATAAAGGCGCCTTTATCCACTTTATCGTTCAAGCACACTAAAGTGCATCTATTAATTATTGACATTTAAAATTTAAACTTTAAACTGTATTTTTACTTGAAAGTGATTTTAAGAACCAAAAATGAAAAAAGAGTGGTAATGGAAGTGGCAGAGAAAGAGAAAGGAGACGAACATTTATGTCGTCGTTGTAAATTTGTTTTGTTTTTGTTGCGGTACCTTTACGCCCAAGAAAAACCAACGCAATATTTCATTACAAAATTTTATGAGATATACCTGCTACTTTAATTTCGCATGAATATTAAATGGACCTGATATACGACGTTTAATGAAATATCAAGCATTCAAAAATGCTCTCAAAGTTGACGAGCTTGTCGCATATGGCAGTGTTAAAGCTGTCATTGAAAATGTTCTTGGTTCATATCGGGCCTAAAATTGGCGCCAATTCATTGAAAAATGCTTTCGGTTTTGCAAAGAATTAGCATTAATATGTCATTTAAAATACGTTTTCTTTTTTTTCATCGTGATAAATTTGCCGAACTGATGAACATGGAGAACGATTTCACCAAGTAACCGCAAATCTAGAGCATTGGTAGATATCTATGGTTATGGCGGAAAGAAGTTGGATTCATTGCTAGGAGTCATTTGCTGGAATTTGCAGCAAAAGATGTACGACGTCCTAGAGAAAAACTAATGACATTTTTGAAATCAGCGGCCCAAAATTAGTTAAACTAAGCTGGAGTACTTAATGTTAGGAAAAAAAGTTTTGTAAAACTATCATAGTGTAATAATACCACTACTGGAATGCATTACTTACCACTACTAGAATGTCTTTTGAAGCGCAACTTCAACTGACTAGGATCTGTCACGTACTTCTCCCCTTGCCTTCGGCGCCTTAGGCCAGGGGTCAGGTCACCGGACCATGACATGCATTTGGCCAAACGCTGGCCCCCAGTGACCGCTACTGGTATTTTCGATATTCTACCTCCCTCCAGGGCTGGACTCACCTTTAAATGTTTTTTTTTAATTTTGGTCACTTCAAGAACAAATCATAAAACTGTTTTTATAAAAAAAAATTGTAGGTAATTTATTATACAGGGTGTTATGTAATTAATGTTATATATTAAAATGGGTTGTTCCTTAGGGTCCATAAAGAAGCACCTGATACTTTTTTTTTCTAAATTCCAAAGTATAAAAATAATTTATAATAACCTTTATCCTACCAAAAAGTACGCCACTGATCGACTAGGAACTTTAGGTTAATCTGGTGGATTTATTATGTTATAATTGGTAACAGTGTTTCCAAAATCTCTCAAAAAAGTTGACAAACATTGTTTAAATTTAGCTTAATTACAAAAATGACAAAATTAACAATGCAAATTGTCAATTTGGCGTTTTTATTAATTGTTGGTTATTTCATTTTTGTACTGAAGGTAAATTCAAACAAAATCTGCCAACTTTTATGACAGAATCTAGTGCATTTCTTTTAAATTTTAGGTTATGTTTTCAAATTGTAAATATCTTAACTAAGGGAAGTGCTTTTGGATTTATTTACACAAATTAAATGTTTAAAGTTTAACCTGTGAACTGGTCCCAATTTCATCTGAGTAAACAGAGAAAAAAACTGATGAAAAAATTAATTTTGTGGATATCAAATTTCAAAGGTACTAAATTTTCTAATCATTGCTTAAGCTAATAGCTGGATCAGTAAATAAATACAGAAGGGTATTAGAGCTTTAAGGGCATAAAACTTTTGTATTTATTGAGTTTTTATTTATTTTTTGCAAGAAAAACTTTTAGTAACAATTGTTTACATCTGGCAATGCATAGCTACTTTGTTGGTTGGTATCTATGTACTCACAAAATACAGGTGTGCAGAGATAAACAAGTGTGTAACCAGTGGCGTATCACAAAAAATATAAAAAACTTCTAATGCATATTTTTTCTTTATCTTTGGAAAAATGTTTTTTTTTAAATATTTTTCCTTTATTCCTTATGTCAAAAGGTATTCAGTATTTTAATATATAACATTAATTACATAACACCCTGTATATTAATATTGCATCAAAATTGTCAAATATGGGTGAAAACTAAATGAGTTTCATCTACACTTTTATTGTGTTTTGATCTTTCATAATAAAAGTGGATATTACAGCTCAGGTTCCAGATTTTTAACCGCAATTAATTATTTTTTCAATGTTTTAAAAGTCTAAAACCTATCCTCCGTGAATGTTACTCTTTCTAGGTTAACCTATATTTTTCAAATATCTGAGGTAGTAAAAACACATCCAAAGCAATCGAATCAAATATAAAATATTATTAAAAATTTAAAGAAATAATTTTTATAACCATTTATGTAGGTGTTACAAATATTGATTCTATCCTCCGTGAATCTGTTTTTGCAGATGCAGATGAGAGTGTTGCTGTTTTATGATTCAAAAGTTTAAGTTCATTAATTTGCTATTTAAAAACCTATCCACCGTGAAGTGTAATATCTTAGTACGTAGATTGTTTTATAAATATTTTATGTATGTACAATTGTATTTTTAAAAAATATTTAGGTGTCAAAAGATCCAATAAATTATTTTAAGTATACAAAGGGATGTTTAAAAAAAACTAAATCCTAACCTCCGTGAAGCTATCTTCCGTGAAGCTCTAATATTAAAAATGTATGATTTCTTAAAACTCTTGCATTATCTTGCATATTCTTCTTTTATTAGGCTAAACATTGAATAAAAAAAACCCAAGATGTATTTTATAAAATACAGATAATTTTAATAATTATAATATCAACATTATCTCTACTCTTATCAAATTTTTTTTTTGTTTTATTTAATGTATAACCTAATAAAAGAAGAATATTTTTGAGAATTTTGATGCTAAAATATTAATTAATAAATGATCTACAATTTTTTTTATAAAAACAGTTTTGTAATTCGTGCGTTTCGCGCGCTTGAAATGGCTGATTAGCTAATTGAGCAAAATTGACTTAAACAACAAATTTAAAACAAAAAATAACTTAACAAAAACCAAAATGATTCATTAATTATTTTTTTTTACCCAGTTTTAATTGTTCAATAATTGTTTTAACTTTGCATATACATATCTTGTCTTAAGTATGACATTTCTAGTACCACTGTTCCAATTATTTGACATTTTAACCTGCAATTTTTAAATGGAGATCTTTTTTTAAATTAATTTACCAAAAAACGTAATAAAAAATAAAATTTACTCACTGATGATTCCCTGAGAATCTGACTAGCATTGTCTACGCCACTGTCTTCGTCGTCGCACTCGTGCCTTTTGTCCCCCCTTAAAACGGGGTTGTCAGTGGCGTCGAAGTACTCGGATTGCTCCTCCACCCCACCCGGACTCAAACCGTTGGCCAATGATTTTTTGTCCCTTAAACAGTTCCAATTTAAACACGCACTGACACATGGTACAAAAAACAAGGTATGCTATTGCGCATCTGTTTCCACCACTTAGACCAGGGTCGATAATTTTTGAAACCAAAAAAATAACAGTAGGATGAAACCCATTGGAAAAGGAGAAGAATATAATAAAAATTAAAGGAAAAATAAATTACGGGCGATCTGACTTCGGGAAGTGGGAGGGGGGGGTTTTAAGGGTAAAGAATGGTTTATCTCGATTTTCGGCAAAACTACAAGTCCTATGGAAAAAAGTTAAATGGCAAAGTTGTAGGTAATAAAAGGATCTACAACTTTTGTATTTACAATTTTTTTATATAACCTCAAAATTTATGTGAAAAATTCAAAAAAACAAGTTTTTGGTTTTTTATTTTTATCTTTTTCAAAAAAAATTTTTTTTCCACGAAATTTTGTGAAAACTTACCTTTTTATGTCCCAAATACACTGTAATTTATTTGATTTGAAATATTTATTATTTCGCCTTATTTTGACTTAATATCAAAAAAGCACCCTAATTTTCAATCGAAAATTCTCGCGAGAAAATATCAGCTTTTTTCAAAAAGTCGGTGTGCTTTTTGTTTGTTGAAATCTCTACTTTCTGATGTTGTAAAAAAAATATACATTACTATGGTAAATGTTCTCAGAAAATGCAAAAAATATTATAATGAATAACGAAAAAAACTCGAATTCGAAAATTTATTTTAATCATTATGTACAATTTCATCAAAAAAATGTGATTGTTGCAATTTTTTTTAGTTAAAAAGTTTATTTATTAAATTCTAATAACATTTATGTCAGAAAATCTCATAAAATATAAAAATACATGTAAATCATACTATTGAATTTAGATACTTCATTCTGATTACGTTATTCATCATTATAATATTTTTTGTATTTACCATAGTAATGTATATTTTTTTTACACCATCAGAAAGTAGAGAGTTCATCGAACAAAAAGCACACCGACTTTTTGAAAAAAGCTGATATTTTGACGCGAGAATTTTCGATTGAAAATTAGGGTGCTTTTTTGATATTAAGTCAAAATAAGGCGAAATAATAAATATTTCAAATCAAATAAATTACAGTGTATTTGGGACATAAAAAGGTAAGTTTTCACCAAATTTCGTGGAAAATATTTTTTTTTTTGAAAAAGATAAAAATAAAAAACCAAAAACTTGGTTTTTTGAATTTTTCACATAAATTTTGAGGTTATGTGAAAAAATTGTAAATACAAAAGTTGCAGATCTTTTTATTACCTACAACTTTGACATAGGACTTGTAGTTTTGCCGGAAATCGAGATAAACCATTTTTTACCCTTAAACCCCCCCCTCCCACTTCCCGAACTCAGATCGCCCGTAATTTATTTTTCCTTTAATTTTTATTATATTCCCCTCCTTTTCCAATGGGTTTCATCCTACTGTTATTTTTTTTCTCTTTTTACCATTTTTAAAGGCTTCTGCACTGGTCTAACTGTCGACTTTTGACTTATAAATTTTTTTTCATTAATAATATTTTATTGAAATGTTAATTTTGTGACTTGGATCTTTAAATTATTCGGCCATTTGATCTAAAAATCGAATAAATTTATAGAAATTTCGAGAGTAATATTTAAATTCAAAGGCGGAAATTGACCGAAATTCGTCCTACTAAAGAACATACCTTGTTTTCTTGTATTTCGGAGCTCACCAGTGCCGGGCAGCCGCGCTTGAGCTACTTACCTCGATTCGGCCGTGTTCGGGACGAAAATGACGTTCGGGTTTGAGGTTAGGTCCACGCCTGGCGAACATTTGATTTTCATTTGCGTATCGGGTGGGTTCGGCCTTAGTCTTTCAATTGTTTCGTCATTGTTGGCCGTTTGTTTCTCGCTTTTCGCTTGCGTCGAATTGCTGCTGTCTGATTTGTCGCCGGAATGCAAATTGTTTTTGGTGGAAACGGTTGGTTTTATCTGAAAGGGAATTAGATTGTTACTATACAGGGTGTTATGTAATTAATGTTATATATTAAAATGGGTTGTTCCTTAGGGTCCATAAAGAAGCACCTGAAACTTTTTTTTTCTAAATTCCAAAGTCTAAAAATAATTTATAATAACCTTTATCCTACCAAAAAGTACGCCACTGATCGACTAGGAACTTTAGGTTAATCTGGTGGATTTATTATGTTATGGTTGGTAACAACAGTATTTCCAAAATCTCTCAAATAAGTTGACAAACATTGTTTAAATTTAGCTTAATTACAAAAATGACAAAATTAACAATGCAAATTGTCAATTTGGCGTTTTTATTAATTGTTGGTTATTTAATTTTTGTACTGAAGGTAAATTCAAACAAAATCTGCCAACTTTTATGACAGAATCTAGTGCATTTCTTTTAAGTTTTAGGTTATGTTTTCAAATTGTAAATATCTTAACTAAGGGAAGTGCTTTTGGATTTATTTACACAAATTAAATGTTTAAAGTTTAACCTGTGAACTGGTCCCAATTTCATCTGAGTAAACAGAGAAAAAAACTGATGAAAAAATTAATTTTGTGGTTATGGATTTCAAATTTCAAAGGCACTAAATTTTCTAATCATTGCTTAAGCTAATAGCTGGATCAGTAAATAAATACAGAAGGGTATTAGAGCTTTAAGGGCATAAAACTTTTGTATTTATTGAGTTTTTATTTATTTTTTGCAAGAAAAATTTTTAGTAACAATTTTTTACATCTGGCAACGCATAGCTACTTTGTTGGTTGGTATCTATGTACTCACAAAATACAGGTGTGCAGAGATAAACAAGTGTGTAACCAGTGGCGTATCACAAAAAATATAAAAAACTTCTAATGCATATTTTTTCTTTATCTTTGGAAAAATGTTTTTTTAAATATTTTTCCTTTATTCCTTATGTCAAAAGGTATTCAGTATTTTAATATATAACATTAATTACATAACACCCTGTATAGTAACAAGTTTGCCCGCGACTAAAAAGTATTATATGTAAGCAGCATTTTTGGTTCCAAAAACCATTACCAAAGTGGTGATAACTTCAAATTAGTTAAGTATACTAAACACCTACTTTAATTTTTACTTAAAAGTAATTCCAACTTTTAAATAGCAATATTTTGTAACAGAAACTTCATTCTTTCCTTAAATGGTTACTATAAAGTAATAAACATTTAAGTAAAACTTGGTTGCCCCCAAGAAGACTTAGCAACTTTAAAAAAGGCGTTAAAAGTAAAAAAACTTTCAAGTAAATTTAATTTGTAGCAGTTACTTTCGGTTGCTAAAGATTACATTATAATTATTTTTACTTTGTAGTCCCTTTGCAAGTTAAAATCTCGAAACTGGAACATGAGTTAAAAACTACAAAGTTGATAACTTAAAAGTTATTATTTTAGTATTTGGAACGTTTATGGTACTAACCAAAACTACCGTAAAGTAAATTAAGGTGGAAAAAACTTTAAAGTAGCGAAAACTACTTCAAAGGAAAATGCTTCTTATCGGCCATTTTTTGATGATGCGAAAAAAAGTTTTGGTACGATATAATATTTAGTGTCTATAACAGACTCAGAAGTGGAAACAGCGGAATAGTAAATTGTTGCGGAAGCGGATGCGGAAGTGTTACGGAAGCGGAACAAATTTTAAATTTGTCAATGAAATTAGATTCCTTGGCGTGTTTATGAAATTTTTGTCCATCCATTTTTTCGCTGTGATGCTCCGTTTCAAAGATATAAAGGAAAAATTGCTTGAGACTCCTAAATTAAGTACTTACCAGTAATTTTTGCGAATTGCTTCTGCTCAAGCTCTCGACTTTCTCGAAATCGATGGCAGACCCGTTCAAAGATTTCCTGTGCAATTTTTTTCTGTCCCTTTCTTCGGAATTGTCCTCCGCGTCCTTGGATTTTTTCTCCTCAGAGTTGGTACTACTGCTCGAGCCGTTATTATCGCGCTTCCTAAGTTTTACTTTCGCCATCAAATTTTCAATATCCTTTGTTTTGGGCAAAATATCATTCGGTTTTTCGGGTTCTGCGTTTTTTATTTCAATGGTTTTTAGTTCCTTTTCTATGGCTATTATTTGTTGATCGTCGTCCAGGCTGACTCTCTTTTTGATCTGTAAAAATGTTGTGCGTTGCTATAGTCGTCATCGTCATCAATTTTGAATTGCAATTGATAATTTTTGTAAGCACCGTTTGTTGCAGATTATTATAAATAATTAAAAAAACTACCATATTATTTTTTAGAAGAAATGATTAAGTATTTAGATACTATACTGTGGGATTTATTTAAGTTTAAAAAATTTTAAGGTTATAACCCAGGCAGCACACAAAGTCTTGAAGATAACTTTTGTATGTCTGTATTATGCCTGAACGTCTGAAGATCTAAAAAAGACGTCTGAAAGACGTCTTTTGATAAGCGTCTTAAAAATATTTTAATTTAATCTTCTAAAGACATCTTATAAATGCCTGATACCGCCGTTTATTTTTTTTTTAATTTTTTGATAAAATAGTGAATTTTGACAAGTCAAAATCGACGTTCAACAACTCAAGTGACAAGTCAAAACAGTGTGCAGTGTTGGTTTTCGATTTTTTTGTGAAGTTTTGTCAATGCAACTTTTAAAATTTTAATAAATCACATGTCATAGAAGTATTAAATATTAACACATTGAAAGTTTATTTAAAAATTGTTTATTTTCTTATAATCTATCTAACTCTAAGTAGGAATGCCGAGAGGTATGCACCTAGACCAAACCAATAGATAAATATCTTATGTCGGATGTCGGGACAGTATTATAATATTTAGCCAAGCCAAGAGAGGGAGCGGATTTTATAATTTTTTGACGTTTTTGACCTTTTTGACCTTCAATTATATCCGTAGTTATCGCATTTTTGTAAGATTTTGTGCATTTGTGTGTTTTTATTGTGTATTGTTTCTAAGGTTTGTATAATAATAATAATTTATAAACGACACTTTGACCGAATCCATAATCTTTCAGATGTATTGTTTAATAAAATTTATGGATTTAACAGTATTCTTCAATTTCAAAATAATCATTAATGAGACAGTTACTTTTGGCATAAATAACAAAAACAATGTTTCTTACCATATATGAATGGTACTTTTGGAAATAAGTATGATAATGATTCAACGAGTTTTACAAATTAAAAAAAATCACAGATTTTACAAATGAATACTAAACACACTTGTTTTACATTTACATACATTTGTTTTCCTCATTGCTTTTCTATAAATCTGCGAATTTCTTTAGTTTATAAAAGTTGCTTGAGAATTACTAAACAGCATAACCACAGAAGTAGGTACCTTAAATACATGGTAGAAAACAAAGTTATTGTTTTCGTTACTAATTACATTTAAAATCTAGCCACAAGTTAGATTTTAAATATAGCGCCATTGAAGTATCCAATCAAATACGTTGATTTTCCACCAATTAAAAGCTATGTTGGCAACAGTTGCCTGTAAACACGTAATTTAATTTTTAGCCAAGTTCAGAGAGGGCGCTTCATTTGGCTCCAAACTATATAGTATAAAGTATATACTCTTTAAGATAGTCATCTATTGGTTTGGTTTAGGGGTATGCAAGAGTTTTGTGCCTTAAATGCCAAATTTTCAAAAGACACACTTAATCAAAATTTGCTCCTAACAAACTCCTAATTAAAGTTCATTTTTTTATCTGGACTGCGGCAACGTTGCAAATTTAGGGGTTTGGTTGGTAAATACGGAACCAAAATTGTTTGCATTGTTTAAAACAAACTAAACTAGTTATAAATGTAATTGTGGTTATGTTTAATTTATTGTAGTTACATCGAACGGTTGGTTAATTTGGCATATAAAAAAGTAGTTAAATATAGGTGACTACGGCGCAGGAGAGACAGTTTCGCGATTATTTCTTATCTTTTTCAAACCAAATGGATGCTATTTTCAAAGACTGCTAGATTTTTCACAAAAAGGTTGAACCTAAAGCATTTCTTACCTCTTTTTCCACCGCCACTAGCTCCGGGGCGAAGGATATTTGCTCCCTCTTCGGACTAGGCAAGTCCACCTCGTTCCTCTCCTTGCTGCTCTGCTTCAAGATGCTCTTGGTCCTCTCGATTTTTTTGATCTCTTTGGCGGCTTCCACTCCGTTGGTGGTTACCTCGTTGGGAAGGTTTTGAGGCTTAGGGTGCGGCTCCTTGTGGCACCCCTGCGGCACCACGCGGATCTCCAGCTTGCCCGCCACCTCTTGCAGCCCCTCGTCGCCGTTTTCCGCCGCCTCCCTGTCGGGCACGTGGATGGCGGGCAGGCTGCCCCACTTTTTCGCCGCCTCCTTGCCTGAGGCGTCCTCCTCGGCGGCTTGGAGGTGGCGCGAGCCGACGTTGCGCATGACGTCGACCCTGAACACCAAATCGTCGAAAGCCGCCTGCTGAAGCAGGGGCGGCTTCAGCCCCGAACGCACCGAAGGGCCCAAGCAAGGGGTGGACCAGGCTCGAGGGAGGGCACCTGAGAAAAACGTCATCTTTCAGTTTTGTGTTTTTTGTACGTATATACAGGGTATTATGTAATTAATGTATATTTTAAAAAGCATTTTTCCAAAGGAAAAAATATGCATTAGAAGTTTTTTATATTTTTTGTGATACGCCACTGGTTATACACTTGTTTATCTCTGCACACCTGTATTTTGTGAGTACATAGATACCAACCAACAAAGTAGCTACGCGTTGCCAGATGTAAAAAATTGTTACTAAAAATTTTTCTTGCAAAAAATAAATAAATACAAAAGTTTTATGCCCTTGAAGCTCTAATACCTTTCTGTATTTATTACTGATCCAGCTATTAGCTTAAGCAATGATTAGAAAATTTAGTACCTTTGAAATTTGAAATCCATAACCACAAAATTAATTTTTTCATCAGTTTTTTTCTGTTTACTCAGATGAAATTGGGACCAGTTCACAGGTTAAACTTTAAACATTTAATTTGTGTAAATAAATCCAAAAGCACTTCCCTTAGTTAAGATATTTACAATTTGAAAACATAACCTAAAATTTAAAAGAAATGCACTAGATTCTGTCATAAAAGTTGGCAGATTTTGTTTGAATTTACCTTCAGTACAAAAATTAAATAACCAACAATTAATAAAAACGCCAAATTGACAATTTGCATTGTTAATTTTGTCATTTTTGTAATTAAGCTAAATTTAAACAATGTTTGTCAACTTTTTTGAGAGATTTTGAAATAACATAATAAATCCACCAGATTAACCTAAAGTCGATCAGTGGCGTACTTTTTGGTAGGATAAAGGTTATTATAAATTATTTTTAGACTTTGGAATTTGGAAAAAAAAAGTTTCGTGTGCTTCTTTATGGACCCTAAGGAACAACCCATTTTAATATATAACATTAATTACATAATACATAAGAAAAGGGATGTTAAAACATACCTAGTAACAACATACATGTGCACATGTTTTATAAGTATACAATGAATTCAACACAAAGCAAGATCGGACATATATAGTATATGCATGATTACTAATAGAAATTCTTCGTCTTAATTTAGGATAAGGAATCTTCACAGACACGTTTCATATGCCCAGTGAAAAGTTTTAAATTATTATTTAAAAAAAAAAAAACATAATTGTTTACCTTTACTCGCAAAGTTCGCCATGTTTGTAATTTTTCGCGCATAACACGTTTAAATCGTTAAATGTAAAGTGCAATATAATGTTGACAAAAACTGAGAGTGAAAAGAAACGAAAAGTGTTTTTAATTTAAACATCAGATAAGAATAGAACTCTCAAACTATAAAAACCATTATACCTACTCAAAATATATTTTTATAGTGATTTATTTAAATCAATTTGTTTTCTTAATCCATTTGGTTTAAAAATAAATGTATTAATAATTAAACTTACCTAAAAATAGTAAAAGTAACAAAAACGTTTTAGGTATTTTTTAAAAAACAATTATGATTGAGATGTTTAACTTGGAAACTTTAGATTAAAACTAAGAATTTTTAAAGTACACATATTAGAATCATTATTATCGATATAAATATTTGTACAAAGCAAGGTCAGAATTATTAATTTTACCAGACAGGAAAATATTAAGCACATTTTGAAGTAATTGGTATAAACCATTTTTTAATATACAAGGTGTCCCTGAAATACCTGTACAATTCCCGGGACCGAAATAATGCGATATAACTAAACTTACTTTTATATTAAAGTTGATAATAACCAAGATACAGGATGTCAAAGTACGTTTTTTAGAAATCTGTCCTAAAAACTCCAAATTTTGTGCAAAGTTGTGGTATAATTTTGCACAGGCATTTCAGGAACACCTTGTATATTAAAATTTTTTTGTTTTAACCACAACCCAAACTGTCTTAAATTTTGCAAAACTAAGTACTTTTTAAGCAATGTTAATTTAAAAAATAGTGGGGAATTATTATTATTACTGAGAAAGCAAAAAAGATTTTAACAGCAGATTTTCACCCAGAAGACCTGGAAAAGGGGGTGAAATTAGTAAAATTGACTGTTAAAATAAAAAAAATAAAAGAAATATTCAAATTTTATAGATCTATAAGTATGTAGTTGAATAAAAGAAACAAATCATACAGATAACAAGAAAACTCAAAACCACTATACTATCACTAAGTATTAGGACTTTAAATAAGGGACAATTACTGACATGAAAAAAGATCTAAAATAAAAACTAAAACTAAAAAAAATACTACATTTAAGTAAAGCTTATTTTTTGTTTTTAAGTCTTTATCGTGAAAAATTTGAGCAGTGTATTTCATAGTCTTTTTACAATAACTATTAACACAGCCTAACAGCCAATCTGTCAAAATATCAGGTCTACAGGGTAAAATGGATATTTTATATTTTTAATTAATATTTTTGAAAAAAACTCATTTTTGTTTACTTTGGCGCCCTATACAGGGTGTTATGTAATTAATGTTATATATTAAAATACTGAATACCTTTTGACATAAGGTGTAACGGAAAAATATGTTCCCAAAGATAAAGAAAAAATATGCATTAGAAGTTTTTTATATTTTTTGTGATACGCCACTAAAAAACTCAATAAATACAAAAGTTTTATGCTCTTAACTACGGTTTCGCGAAAGGATCGAACGGTCGATTTGCAAGGGTTCAAGAAATCGATTGAAACTTTTCTACCTTATTTCTACATCTAAATGCAGTACTTTTTTCAAAAAAAAAATCTTGTCCATCGACAACTTTATTTTTATTATTATTTTTTTCTTCACTGTGTTAAAAATGAAGAAATTTCTTTTTTTTTTGATAACTTTTTTATTTTAAATCGTATCGATTTGAAATTTGGACAAAATGTAGATCTTACTAATGACAATTAATTCATGAAAAAATTTTGTTTAGATTTTAACGTACAGGGGGCGCTGGTAAGAATTTAATTTAAAATTTATCAATTTTTAAATGGTAAATATTCGAAGAAGCAACTTTGTTTTATAAATTTGAGTATATCACGTTGAAGTATTGATATTTGACTTTTATTTGATATATTAACTTTTTTATGCAAATGATGTTTATGTGGCCAGGATCAATTTTGAATTAGCAGTAGCAGTATTCATAAATGTTTAGTTTAGTACATATTGTCATTTTTATACAAATATTGTTGTATCTTTTATTATTAATTAAGTACCTAAAGCATAACACATAAATGACGTTTAATATACAGGGTGCTTCACGTACGTAGTCCGTTAGAAGTTTCTATAGGGAATCGGGAAAGTCATCGATTTAAAATAATTTTAATAGCGTAAATTATTTGATTTAGATTTTTTTCTTAAATTAAACAAAATAATACTTCTCGTTTTACCGGAATTGTCTTTTTATTTTAAACAGGACACCTTATATATTTTTACATTTTTTAATTCTATAGAATGTATACATAAAATTATTAATAAAATGGCTATATACCTTATCCTATACCTAAAGTCAATATTTTTCTAGTTATTAATTTTTCAATCAAATATTTTAATTAATTTTAAACAATAACAGATTAAGTGGTAACCATGGATACTGTCACATTAACCAACTTGTTGAATAGAAAATAATATTGAAAATATTAGAAATTGTTAAATGTCTCTGAAATTTTAACTTTATAAAGTTATAGGAAGCAATTATTAGAATACCAATCGAAAAGTTCTTAAATTTTCTATTTGATTATGTTAAAACATACAGGGTTTTACATTTATAATTAGAGGTCGTGGGTTCGAATCCCACCAGGGGTATGGCTGTTTATTTGTGTTTGTCCTATTGTGTATTAGTCCTTTAAGCCCGCGGTCCGTTCCTACCCCTAACCCGCACAAGCCATTCAGTTGGCTTATGGGACTTCTTAAGAAGTAAGGGTGGAACTAAAAGAGCACTTTTGTATATAAACTTTTTGTATATAAACGTAATTATTGTTTGAAGTTTGCCTAATTTTAAGTGGTTTTTCTCAATCTATTTGTTGAAAAACCTTTAAAAAATTAAATTATTTAAAAAATTCAAAATTCAAATTTCAAAAATTCCAACCAAATGTCAGCAAACCTAATAACAAAAAATTAGAGGTTATTTTTGATTAACTTGTATTTAGCAAAATTTTAACAAAAAAAAATAATATCTTGAAAACTATTGACTTTAGGTATAGTCTAAATCAAATTGTATAGGCTGTTACAATTTTAAATCCATATAGTTTGCGAAACACCCTGTATAGCATTATATTAAATATAAAATTGCAAAATAACTAATTACAAAAAAGCGAAAAACAACTGATTAAAAAATATACATATATCTAAATAGCCGATCGCAACATAAAAAATAAAGTCTTTATTCTAATTTATTTATTGGGTAAATATTACTTTCCTCAGTTTGGAATTAAAATTAAAGCTTGCTTATTAAGTAAAAAATAAATTGAAGCTTGGTTGTGTAGCAAAAAATAAAATTAAAGTAGGTTATAATTTCTAACTGGCTAACGCTGTCTATAAATATTATTTAGTTTATTCATTTTATAAACTGAACTGTCATATTATCTTTCATGCTTCCAATGGTAGGTTACCATAGAGAAAAAAAGTCTATGATGCCTACTATAATCAAAATTAGTAAACTTGGAAAAAAATTTAAATTTATAAATAAAAGTAATTTTAGCTCCATCTATGGCGATTTTTTAAATAAATATGTAAGAATTGTATGTTATATATAATATATTATATGTGATATATAATGTATAATATGTAATATATAATACATTATATTATAAAACTAGATAAAACAAAATATACTTTGTAAAACACGTTAGTATTATGCTCTTTGAAGGCCTAACTTAAAAATGACGTCTCTCGTAGAAACATAATTTGCATATAGAAGTTTATATATCAAATAATAGTTAATTATCAGTACTTTACCGTGATATACTCAAAATTATAAAACAACGTTGCTTCTTCGATTTTTTAACCCTTAAAAAATGGTAAAATTTTAAATTAAATTGTCCCCTGCGCCCCCTGTATGTTAAAATCTAAAAAAAATAATACGTGGATTTATTGTCATTAATTAGGTCTACATTTTATCTTAATTTCAAATCGATACGTTTTTAAATAAAAATGATATTACAAAATATCGAAATTTATCTATTTTTAACACAGTAGAGTAACTTAAGGCCTGTTAACCACAGCGGTCAATGGATGAAATTTTTTTATTGAAAAAAATGCACCATTTAGATGTAGAAACAAGGTAAAAAAAATATATTCAATTCTGACATCACTTGCAAACAAATGTCCAAAATTTGTTCGATTTTTACGCGAAACCATAGTTAAAGCTCTAAAAACCTTCTGTATTTATTTGCTCATCCAGCTATTAGCTTAAGCAATGATTAGAAAATTTAGTACCTATTTTAAAAACTCCATAACCACAAAATTAATTTTTTCATCGGTTTTTTCTTTCTGTTTACTCAGATGAAATCAGGACAAGTTAACAGGTTAAACTTTAAACATTCAATTTGTGTAAATAAATCCAAAAGCACTTCCCTTAGTTAAGATATTTACAATTTGAGCGCATAACCTAAAATTTGAAAGAAATGCAATAGATTCTGTCATAAAAGTTGCCAGATTTTGTTGTCATTACAAAAATGACATAATTAACAATTAATAAAAACAAAAATTAACAATTTTTGATTTTTTGTCATTTTTGTAATTAAGCTAAATTTAAACAAAATTTTGCAACTTTTTTGACAGAATATGGAAACGCTGGTTGTTACCAACCATAACATAATAAATTAAATCAGGCATTATAAATTATTTTTTGTCTTTAGAATTTTTAATATATTACATTAATTACATAACACCCTGTATATTTTTAGGGACTAAGCACAAAAAGTTTTGGCAGTTAAAAATGTCAAGCTCTAAATTTTTTGTCTTTACATTTTTTTTGTAAGACCAATAGGAAAGGAGATAAAACGCTTATTATAAATTTTCTTTTAAAAGAGGAGGGGGGATGGAGTTTGGAATTTTTTCGACGTCAAAATACAGATTGACTGTACTAAATACTAAATATAGGGTTTTTTATTAATAGATTTGAATTTGTTCTTATTCCTTATTTTTTAATGTATTATTTTAATAAAAAACCCTTTTATGATGATTTTTTATATGACTTTTATGTGGTTAAATTATAAAAATGAGCTGTTTAATAATTGGCCTAGGATTTCTGTTATTAAAGCTAATGAGCGCCGCCATGGGTGGACATTACTAACTATAAGCAAAAAAAAAAGAAAATGTAAATAAATAAAAAATGTAATGCAATTTTTCAAACATGGTACAAAAAAACAAGGTATGTTCTAGCGCATCTGCTTCCACCTCTACATTATATTGGCGAAGATGCGAGTTGTTTTTTAAGCTATTTTAAAGTTTTGTAAAGTGTACAAAGTGTCTACCTGCCAAGAAAAAGAAAAAAACCAGAAAATCCAATACATTTCCTTAGTATGCGCTTGAAAAAATTGATGTTAAGGATAGTAAGTAGATTTATTTTAAAAGCAATTAAAAAGCAGTAGTTTTTTAGAGGTACTTTCCTTTTGTATACACAGATTATCCGTGACAGATAAATAAATAAAAAAATAATTTAAGTTCATATTTTTGTTTGTTTTTTAGCTTGTATTTGTTCCATTTACTTCGAAGATAGTTGCTATAAGAAGGAAAATTTCATCAAAAAAACATTCCCATAAAAAAGTCTTTAAAAGTGGATACGGTTCCAACTTTACACTTAACAGCTGATCTATCAAAAGAAAAATCAAGTATTTTGAAAGAAATTAAAATAAAATTGTAAAAAACTATAAATCATAGTTCTTTTTACAGTGTACAAGAAATAGGACAAAACCAGAAAGCCTAATATGATCTTTGAAGACAGAAGAGTAACAGAAACTCAAACTCTAATAAATCAGGTACTGCAGTTGTAAGAAATTAAAATAAAATTTGAAAAACAAAATTACATCTTTCTTTTTGCTCTGTGCGGGAAATGTGCCAAGACGATCTTCAAGGACAGTCCATAACAGAAACTCAAACTGCGCATGCTGCTGATAATGAAATGGCCCGGGATTGAAACATCCCAAAAGCATTAGAAAACCAGCTGTACCATACCATAATATAATACTTTTCACAAGTATAGTTTGTTTTATTCAATGTTGGCTACATGGTGGCCAATTTAGGGTTTTTATTTGGCAACTAAACCTTAATTGCAGTTTTTTGTAAATACAATTTTGTAATAAATAAATTTTGAAAAAATATGTTGTTTTAACATTTTTCTTGCAATGTTAATGTTGTAACTTGATACTTTTTATTTAATTCTTTATATTTGCTTTAAAACAGGATATTTTACTTTATAACAATATATTTTATTTGATTGAAAAAACATATAAATTAGTTATTTTCATTAATAATATTTTCTTAAAATGTTAAGCCTGAATTATAGATTGCCTTCCTTCCTTCCTTCCTTCCGTAGAAGATGAACATTACGAAATTTCACCATTAACATTTCCTGTGTAGAAATTTTTAATACTTTGTGATAATATTTTGCAATTATAGTAATAAAAAAAATCAAAGAATAAAATATTTTCTTAACAAAATCATATTTTGAAGTTATTTTAATATTTTAAAGTATCAATAATTGTTAAGTTTAATGGTGACAATTACGTCAAAAATGTTTATTTAAATCGTAGTGCCAGTTATAGATTCCCGTACCGTAAGGACAGCATTCCTTCCTCCCGTAGAAATTTTTAAGTTTTATCTTTCACCGTAAAGGTCTTTGACATGACCAATCACAGTGCTTGTTATGGACATGCGCTGTAGGGTGACAGCGCGTAGGCACAAAATATATAAAATACATGATTGTTTAGTATTATTTAAGATAGGTGTTCAGTTTATTAAATAATTTGTGTCTCTAAATAGGATATTTAGATATTGTTTATGATCCATGTCTTTCATTTTTAGAAACGTTGCTTTGTAAAACCCCCTAGTTTCCCGGTCTTGGTAAAGTGGGCGAGTCTTCCAACGTCTTGTTCGATGTTTTTTTTTCATTATACTGCCCTACTATGGAAAAAGGCAGTAACTGCAAATGCGTTTTCTTGTGCTATGAAAAAGGTATAGGCATTTTGTATCTTAATTCAACAAAGAAATGCAGTAAACTATCTTTTAAGTTAAATAAATCAGTTAAATACCTACTGCTTTTTATAAAAATGTAGTTCATGCTAATTTCCCACAAATTTCTTGTTTAGCAGTTACTGCCTTTCTCCATAGTTGGGCAATTAAAATTGTGATCACTGCACTAATATATAAATGTTTATCTTTCATATTTACACACAATGGGTAAAACGCAGAATATAAACAAAAACAAATGTCAACCATTTTAGGTGTCATCGCGGAATTTTACACGGAAATCTATAAATTGACTTTTTACGGGAGGAAGGAAGGAAGGCAATCTATTATTCAGGCTTTATCTTTAAATTGTCGTCCTATAAAAAACTTACCTTGTTTTCTTGTACCATGATAAATATGACATATTATTTTTTCGGGTGGAAAAAATACCGATTTTTCAAAGATGAAGAATGTCACATTAATTGCGTTTAAAATTAAAAAAAAAAGCTTCCAATTTGTTGCACAGATAAACTACAAATTCTTACCGACTAGCTCAGGATATTCCTCCATTCCAGCTATGTTGACGTATCTGCGATGACTGGGCCTGGAGTCCTCGCTAATGCGACTTAACGCCGGTGGCGGCGCTTGCGACGTGACACCGACCGCCTCTGAAACCGCCTGCGAGGCGGCAGCCGCCCTATGCTCGGGAGATTCCGGTTTCCACTCGTTATCGGTGGTTTCTTCACTGTCGTCGAATTGGGATTTCCACTGCGAGGCGAGGGTAAGCGCTCCGCCTCTGGTCACCTGGGGGTGACAATAAAATGTTTTTTTTTGTAATGTGCCTATATTAGCTGAACAAAATCAAAAATAGGCCATCTGCAAAAATTGATAAGTATCCCTAAGCATCTGCATGACCTATCACATAATTTGCAAAATTAAACACGACAGATATTTTTAAAACCCCAAGCATTGCTTAAACTCCAGAAGAAAAAAAACAATAAACATCAGTAAAAAAAGAAACATTAGAAAGATAATACTAACCAAACATCATAAAAAAAAGGAAAAAAGACACAACAAAAAAACAAAACTTCCCATCCGAACCTATCGCGGTCACGCACATCAAAGATGAGTAGGACAATAAATCTGTCGGTTTATTTGACACTTTGATTTATAAAATTATAATTTTTATAAATCATTCATTATTTTGTAATTGGATATTTTCAATGGACTCCTTTCTGCAAAAATACCCAACCGACAGTATATATGACGTTTACGTTTATTTTCATAAATCAATTTAATTTAACGTTTAGTTTTAGATATTGTCAAGTTGTTGATTGCTACTTTTTTAAAATGTGAAGATTTTTCAAAAAAAAAAATCAATTTTTCCCAAAAAAGTGACCAGGGTAAAAACGAAAAAAACCCAGTTTTTCCCCAACGCTTTTCACTAGACAACAAACATTTTTCACAATTTTTCATAAAGTGCAAACTAATATAGTGTAACGGTCAATAAAGAGTTAAGTAATAAGTAATAAGAAAGAGTTAAGTGACAAGTGTCAGCTTCTGGGTGGTCCTACCACCTGTCAATTGGACGCTTTTCATTAGACAAACAAAAGAGGACAAACAAGGGAGAAATAGGCCATCTGCAAAAATTGATAAGTACTCTTAACCATCTGCATGACCTAACACATAATTTGCAAAATTAAACACGACAGATACCTTTAAAACTCCAAGAGAGGCACATTGCTTAAACTCTAGAAAAAAACAATAAACATAAGTAACAAAAGAAACATTAGAAAGACAATACTAGCCAAACATCATACAAAAATAAAGAAAAAAGACACACAACAAAAAAAAAACAAAACTTCCCATCCGAACCTATCGCGGTCACGCACATCAAAGCTGAGTAGGACAATAAATCTGTCGGTTAATTTGACACTTTGATTTATAAAATTATAATTTTTATAAATTATTTATTATTTTGTAATTGGATATTTTCAATGGACTTCTTTCTGCAAAAAATACCCAACCGACAGTATATATGACGTTTACGTTTATTTTCATAAATCAATTTAATTTAACGTTTACTTTTAGATATTGTCAAGTTGTTAATTGCTACTTTTTTAAAATGTGTAGATTTTCCAAAAAAAATTCAATTTTTCCCAAAAAAGTGATTTTTTTCCAAGGCCAGGGGAAAAAAAAGAAAAAAACACAGTTTTTCCCCCAACGCTTTTCACTAGACAACAAACATTTTTCACATTTTTTTTATAAAGTGCAAACTAATATAGTGTAACGGTCAATAATGAGTTAAGTGTTAAGTGATAAGAAAGAGTTAAGTGACAAGTGTCAGCTTCTGGGTGGTCCTACCACCTGTCAATTGGACGCTTTTCACTAGACAAACAAAAGAGGACAAACAAGGGAGAAATAGGCCATCTGCAAAATTTTATAAGTACTCTTAACCATCTGCATCACCTAACACATAATTTGCAAAATTAAACACGACAGATACCTTTAAAACCCCAAGAGAGGTCATTGCTTAAACTCTGGAAAAAAACAATAAACATCAGTAACAAGAGAAACATTAGAAAGATAATACTAACCAAACATCATAAAAAAATAAAGAAAAAAGACACACAACAAAAAAAAAAACAAAACTTCCCATCCGAACCTATCGCGGTCACGCACATCAAAGCTGAGTAGGACAATAAATCTGTCGGTTTATTTGACAATTTGATATATAAAATTATAATTTTTATAAATCATTCATTATTTTGTAATTGGATATTTTCAATGGACTCTTTTCTGCAAAAAATACCTAACCGACAGTATATATGACGTTTACGTTTATTTTCATAAATCAATTTAATTTAATGTTTAGTTTTAGATATTGTCAAGTTGCTGATTGCTACTTTTTTAAAATGTGTAGATTTTCCAACAAATAAAAAATAATTTTTCCCAAAAAAGTGATTTTTTCCAAGGCCAGGGGAAAAAAAGAAAAAAACCCAGTTTTTCCCCAACGCTTTTCACTAGACAACAAACATTTTTCACAATTTTTCGTAAAGTGCAAACTAATATAGTGTAACGGTCAATAATGAGTTAAGTGTTAAGTGATAAGAAAGAGTTAACATTCTGGGTGGTCCTACCACCTGTCAATTGGACGCTTTTCACTAGACAAACAAAAGAGGACAAACAAGGGAGAAATAGGCCATCTGCAAAAATTGATAAGTACTCTTAGCCATCTGCATGACCCAACACATAATTTGCAAAATTAAACACTAAAACCCCAAGAGAGGCACATTGCCTAAACTCTAGAAAAAAAAACAATAAACATCAGTAACAAAAGAAACATTAGAAAGAAAATAAACCAAACCACATAAAAAAATAAAGAAAAAAGACACACAACAAAAAAAACAAAACTTCCCATCCGAACCTATCGCGGTCACACACATCAAAGCTGAGTAGGACAGTCGGTTTAGTTGACAGTTTGATTTATGAAATTATAATTTTTATATATCATTCATTATTTTGTAATTGGATATTTTCAATGGACTCTTTTCTGCAAAAATACCCAACCGACAGTATATATGACGTTTACGTTTATTTTCATAAATCAATTTAATTTAACGTTTAGTTTTAGATATTGTCAAGTTGTTAATTGCTACTTTTTTAAAATGTGTAGATTTTCCAAAAAAAATTTAATTTTTCCCAAAAAAGTGATTTTTTTCAAGGCCACGGGAAAAACGAAAAAAACCCAGTTTTTCCCCAATGCTTTTCACTAGACAGAAACATTTTTCACAATTTTTCATAAAGTGCAAACTAATATAGTGTAACGGTCAATAATGAGTTAAGTGTTAAGTGATAAGAAAGAGTTAACATTCTGGGTGGTCCTACCACCTGTCAATTGGACGTTTTTCACTAGACAAACAAAAGAGGACAAACAAGGGAGAAATAGGCCATCTGCAAAAATTGATAAGTACTCTTAACCATCTGCATGACCTAACACATAATTTGCAAAATTAAACACGACAGATACCTTTAAAACCCCAAGAGAGGCCATTGCTTAAACTCTGGAAAAAAAAAACAATAAACATCAGTAACAAAAGAAACATTAGAAAGACAATACTAGCCAAACATCATAAAAAAATAAAGAAAAAAGACACACAACAAAAAAAAAAACAAAACTTCCCATCCGAACCTATCGCGGTCACGCACATCAAAGCTGAGTAGGACAATAAATCTGTCGGTTTATTTGACAATTTGATATATAAAATTATAATTTTTATAAATCATTCATTATTTTGTAATTGGATATTTTCAATTGACTCTTTTCTGCAAAAAATACCTAACCGACAGTATATATGACGTTTACGTTTATTTTCATAAATCAATTTAATTTAATGTTTAGTTTTAGATATTGTCAAGTTGCTGATTGCTACTTTTTTAAAATGTGTAGATTTTCCAACAAATAAAAAATAATTTTTCCCAAAAAAGTGATTTTTTCCAAGGCCAGGGGAAAAAAAGAAAAAAACCCAGTTTTTCCCCAACGCTTTTCACTAGACAACAAACATTTTTCACAATTTTTCGTAAAGTGCAAACTAATATAGTGTAACGGTCAATAATGAGTTAAGTGTTAAGTGATAAGAAAGAGTTAACATTCTGGGTGGTCCTACCACCTGTCAATTGGACGTTTTTCACTAGACAAACAAAAGAGGACAAACAAGGGAGAAATAGGCCATCTGCAAAAATTGATAAGTACTCTTAACCATCTGCATGACCTAACACATAATTTGCAAAATTAAACACGACAGATACCTTTAAAACCCCAAGAGAGGCACATTGCTTAAACTCTAGAAAAAAAAACAATCAGTGACAAAAGAAACATTAGAAAGACAATACTAACCAAACATCATAAAAAAAATAAAGAAAAAAGACACACAACAAAAAAAAACAAAACTTCCCATCCGAACCTATCGCGGTCACGCACATCAAAGCTGAGTAGGACAATAAATCTGTCGGTTTATTTGACAATTTGATATATAAAATTATAATTTTTATAAATCATTCATTATTTTGTAATTGGATATTTTCAATGGACTCTTTTCTGCAAAAAATACCTAACCGACAGTATATATGACGTTTACGTTTATTTTCATAAATCAATTTAATTTAACGTTTAGTTTTAGATATTGTCAAGTTGTTGATTGCTACTTTTTTAAAATGTGTAGATTTTCCAAAAAAAATTCAATTTTTCCCAAAAAAGTGATTTTTTCCAAGGCCAGGGGAAAAAAGAAAAAAACCCAGTTTTCCCCAACGCTTTTCACTAGACAACAAACATTTTTCACAATTTTTCATAAAGTGCAAACTAATATAGTGTAATGGTCAATAATGAGTTAAGTGTTAAGTGATAAGAAAGAGTTAAGCTTCTGGGTGGTCCTACCACCTGTCAATTGGACGCTTTTCACTAGACAAACCAAAGAGGACAAACAAGGGAGAAATAGGCCATCTGCAAAAATTGATAAGTACTCTTAACCATCTGCATGACCTAACACATAATTTGCAAAATTAAACACGACGGATACCTTTAAAACCCCAAGAGAGGCCATTGCTTAAACTCTAGAAAAAAAACAATAAACATCAGTAACAAAAGAAACATTAGAAAGACAATACTAACCAAACAACATAAAAAATATATAGAAAAAACAACACACAACAAATAAAACAAAACTTCCCATCCGAACCTATCGCGGTCACGCACATCAAAGCTGAGTAGGACAATAAATCTGTCGGTTTATTTGACACTTTGATTTATAAAATTATAATTTTTATAAATCAATCATTATTTTGTGATTGGATATTTTCAATGGACTCCTTCTGCAAAAATACCCAACCGACAGTATAAATGACGTTTACGTTTATTTTCATAAATCAATTTAATTTAACGTTTAGTTTTAGATATTGTCAAGTTGATGATTGCTACTTTTTTAAAATGTGTAGATTTTCCAAAAAAAATCAATTTTTCCTAAAAAGTGATTTTTCCAAGGCCAGGGGAAAAACGAAAAAAACCCAGTTTTTCCCCAACGCTTTTACTAGACAACAAACATTTTCCACAATTTTTCATAAAGTGCAAACTAATATAGTGTAATGGTCAATAATGAGTTAAGTGTTAAGTGATAAGAAAGAGTTAACATTCTGGGTGGTCCTACCACCTGTCAATTGGACGTTTTTCACTAGACAAACAAAAGAGGACAAACAAGGGAGAAATAGGCCATCTGCAAAAATTGATAAGTACTCTTAACCATCTGCATGACCTAACACATAATTTGCAAAATTAAACACGACGGATACCTTTAAAACCCCAAGAGAGGCACATTGCTTAAACTCTAGAAAAAAAAAACAATAAAAATCAGTAACAAAAGAAACATTAGAAAGACAATACTAACCAAACATCATAAAAAAATGAAGAAAAATGACACACAACAAAAAAAAACAAAACTTCCCATCCGAACCTATCGCGGTCACGCACATCAAAGCTGAGTAGGACAATAAATCTGTCGGTTAATTTGACACTTTGATTTATAAAATTATAATTTTTATAAATCATTTATTATTTTGTAATTGGATATTTTCAATGGACTCTTTTCTGCAAAAAATACCTAACCGACAGTATATATGACGTTTACGTTTATTTTCATAAATCAATTTAATTTAACGTTTAGTTTTAGATATTGCCAAGTTGTTGATTGCTACTTTTTTAAAATGTGTAGATTTACAAAAAAAAAATCAATTTTTCTCAAAAAAGTGATTTTTTCCAAGGCCAGGAGAAAAACGAAAAAAAACCCAGTTTTTCCCCAACGCTTTTCACTAGACAACAAACATTCTCACAATTTTTCATAAAGTGCAAAATAATATGGTGTAATAGTCAAAAAAGAGTTAAGTGTTAAGTGATAAGAGAGAGTTAAGTGACAAGTGAGCTTCTGGGTGGTCCTACCACCTGTCAATTGGACGTTTTTCACTAGACAAACAAAAGAGGACAAACAAGGGAGAAATAGGCCATCTGCAAAAATTGATAAGTACTCTTAACCATCTGCATGACCTAACACATAATTTGCAAAATTAAACACGACGGATACCTTTAAAACCCCAAGAGAGGCACATTGCTTAAACTCTAGAAAAAAAAACAATAAAAATCAGTAACAAAAGAAACATTAGAAAGACAATACTAACCAAACATCATAAAAAAATGAAGAAAAATGACACACAACAAAAAAAAACAAAACTTCCCATCCGAACCTATCGCGGTCACGCACATCAAAGCTGAGTAGGACAATAAATCTGTCGGTTAATTTGACGCTTTGATTTATAAAATTATAATTTTTATAAATCATTCATTATTTTGTAATTGGATATTTTCAATGGACTCTTTTCTGCAAAAATACCCGACCGGCAGTATATATGACGTTTACGTTTATTTTCATAAATCAATTTAATTTAACGTTTAATTTTAGATATTGTCAATTTTTGATTGCTACTTTTTTAAAATGTGTATATTTTCCAAAAAAAAATCAATTTTTCTCTAAAAAGTGATTTATTCCAAGGCCAGGGAAAAAACGAAAAAAAAAATAGTTTTTCCCCAACGCTTTTCACTAGACAACAAACATTTTTCACAATTTTTCATAAAGTGCAAAATAATATGGTGTAATAGTCAAAAAAGAGTTAAGTGTTAAGTGATAAGAGAGAGTTAAGTGACAAGTGAGCTTCTGGGTGGTCCTACCACCTGTCAATTGGACGTTTTTCACTAGACAAACAAAAGAGGACAAACAAGGGAGAAATAGGCCATCTGCAAAAATTGATAAGTACTCTTAACCATCTGCATGACCTAACACATAATTTGCAAAATTAAACACGACAGATACCTTTAAAACACCAAGAGAGGCACATTGCTTAAACTCTAGAAAAAAAACAATAAACATCAGTAACAAAAGAAACATTAGAAAGACAATACTAACCAAACATCATAAAAAAATAAAGAAAAAAGACACACAACATAAAAAAACAAAACTTCCCATCCGAACCTATCGCGGTCACGCACATCAAAGCTGAGTAGGACGATAAATCTGTCGGTTTATTTGACGCTTTGATTTATAAAATTATAATTTTTATAAAACTCACCTGCTGACTGACGTTCTCGTCGTCTATGACGGCGAACTGCGTCAAGCTCTGATCCCTGACCGCCGACCTGGACGTCCTAGCAGCGCTGGTCTGCCGCCTGCGGTTCGGCCGCTCCCCTTCCGGCGTGGCGGGCGACTCGACCAGGCTGCCGCCGCCGCCCTCGCGGTGCTGGTGGCCGCCGCCCGAGGCGCCGGAGGCCGCGGCGGCGGGCGCCACGCGGAGGCGCCCCAAAGTGGCGACGCCCGATTGCGATTTGCGCAGCGGCGCCGCCTTGACGTTGGCGTCCGAGGTCGACTTGGCGCTGGCCTGCGTTTCGTTGTCGAGGCGGTCGGGCGCCTGCTCCAGGTGGGAGGTGGCGCGACGTTTTCGTACTGAAATTTGCGTGGTTATAAAATTATGTTTCACCCATTAGTGCACATAATTTTAGTTTATTATATTGTAATAAAAATAAACTAAAATGATAAATATGATTTATTTATGTCGACATTATAGCTTGTCAACATTTTAGCTTTTCTTCATTAAAGCTTGTCATCAATTTGTTTGTTAATTTTGTACTTTAACCGGTCATAATTTTAGCTTGTCCTCATTCAAGCATGTCAATATTTTAGCATGTCATCATACTAGCTTGTTGTCATTTAAGATAATTGTAATTTTAACTTTAGTAATTTTAGTTTGTTATTATTTTAGCTTGTCATCATTTTAACTAGTTGGTATTTTAGCTTGTCATCATTCTAACTCGTTGACATTTTAGTTTAACATTTAATTTGTCAATATTTTAGCATGTCATCATACTAGCTTGTTATCATTTAAGTTAATTGTAATTTTACTTTAGTAATTTTAGTTTGTTAACATTTTATCATTTCATCATTTTAACTTCGTTATTATAGCCGGTCGACATTTTAGCATGTCATCATACTAACTTGTCGACATTTTAGCCCTGTTATCATTTTAGATAATTGTAATTTTAACTTTATATTTATATTCTAGCATGGCATCATTTTAGCTTGTCTTCATTCAAGCTTCTTCTTATTGAAACTTGTCGTGATTTAAGCTTGTCATCATTTTAACAAAATGATGTAGTTTTTTTAGCTTGTCCTCATTAGAGCCTGTCGACATTTTAGCCCTGTTATAATTTTTTAACTTTAGTAATTTTAGTTTATTTATGTTCTAGCACGTCATCATTTTAACTTGTCATTACTTAACCTTGTTCTTAATGAAACTTGTTGTAAATTTATCTTGTCATAAATGTCGTAGTCTTTTTAACCCGTCATAATTTTAGCTTGTCGACATTTTAGCTTTAATTTGTCAATATTTTAGCATGCCATTATACTATCTTGTTGAAATTTTAGCTTGTCATCATTTTAACTAGTTGGTATTTTAGCTTGTCATCATTCTAACTTGTCGACATTTTAGCTTTTCTTCTTTAAAGATTGTCATCATTTTAACAAAATGTCGTAGTCTTTTTAACCGGTCCTATTTCAGCTTGTCCTCATTAGAGCTTGTCGACATTTTAGCTTTAATTTGTCAATATTTTAGCATGTCATCATACTAGCTTGTCATCATTTTAACTAGTTGATATTTTAGCTTGTCATTCTAACTTGTCGACATTTTAGCTTTTTTCATTAAAGCTTGTCATCATTTTAACAAAATGATGTAGTCTTTTTAACCGGTCCTATATCAGCTTGTCCTCATTATAGCTTGTAGACTATTTCATCTTTAATTTGTCAATATTTTAACATGTCATCATACTAGCTTGTCATCATTTTAACTAGTTGGTATTTTAGCTTGTCATTCTAACTTGTCGACATTTTAGCTTTTGTTCATTAAAGCTTGTCATCATTTTAACAAAATGATGTAGTCTTTTTAACCAGTCCTATTTCAGCTTGTCCTCATTAGAGCTTGTCGACATTTCATCTTTAATTTGTCAATATTTTAACATGTCATCATACTAGCTTGTCATCATTTTAACTAGTTGGTATTTTAGCTTGTCATTCTAACTTGTCGACATTTTAGCTTTTCTTCATTAAAGCTTGTCATCATTTTAACAAATGATGTAGTCTTTTTAACCGGTTATAATTTTATGTGGTCCTCATTAGAGCTTGTCGACATTTTAGTATTAATTTGTCAATATTTTAACATGTCATCATACTAGCTTGTCATCATTTTAACTAGTTGGTATTTTAGCTTGTCATTCTAACTTGTCGACATTTTAGCTTTTCTTCATTTTTAACAAAATGATGCAGTCTTTTTAACCGGTCATTATTTTAGCTTGTCCTCATTAGAGCTTGTCGACATTTTAGCATGTCATCATACTAGCTGGTCGACACTTTAGGTTGTCATCATTTTAACTAGTTGGTATTTTAGCTTGTCATTCTAACTTGTCGACATTTTAGCTTTTCTTCATTTTTAACAAAATGATGCAGTCTTTTTAACCGGTCATAATTTTAGCTTGTCCTCATTAGAGCTTGTCGACATTTTAGCATTAATTTGTCAATATTTTAGCATGTCATCATACTAGCTGGTCGACATTTTAGGTTGTCATCATTTTAACTAGTTGGTATTTTAGCTTGTCATTCTAACTTATCGACATTTTAGCTTGTCATCATTTTATCTATTTGGTATTTTAGCTTGTCATTCTAACTTGTCGACATTTTAGCTTTTCTTAATTTTTAACAAAATGATGCAGTCTTTTTAACCGGTCATAATTTTAGCTTGTCCTCATTAGAGCTTGTCGACATTTTAGCATTAATTTGTCAATATTTTAGCATGTCATCATACTAGCTGGTCGACATTTTAGGTTGTCATCATTTTAACTAGTTGGTATTTTAGCTTGTCATTCTAACTTATCGACATTTTAGCTTGTCAATATTTTATCTAGTTGGTATTTTAGCTTGTCATTCTAACTTGTCGACATTCTAGCTTTTATTCATTAAAGCTTGTCATCATTTTAACAATAATTTTAGGTTGTCCTCCTTAGAGCTTGTCGACATTTCATCTTTAATTTGTCAATATTTTAACGTCATCATTTTAGCTAGTTGGTATTTTAACTTGTCATTCTAACTTGTCGACATTTTAGCTTTTCTTCATTAAAGCTTGTCATCATTTTAACAAAATGATGTAGTCTTTTTAACCGGTCATAATTTTAGGTTGTCCTCCTTAGTGCTTGTCATCATATTAGCTTGTTATCATTTAAGATAATTGTAATTGTAAGTTTAGTCATTTTAACAAAATAATTTCGTCTCATAAGCTTTTTAGTTTGTCAATATATTAGGATGTAACCTGCTTCAGTGAAGTGAAATTTATAAAAAATAACTATTATTTTGTCAACCCAGTTACAGCGAGTCAAAAGTTAGTTACTTCTATCATTGATATCTGAAATTATTTTCAATACTTACACAGTCGCTAGATAAACAAAAAATCACAAACAGTAATAGCAAAATTAAATCATCTTACCCAACAAGACGCTTTTAATGCATGTACTTATATGTATGTATGAAAATCATTTCAGAAATCAACTCAAGTCCAAGTCCAAAACATCGACTGCGAAAAATGGCAATACGACTCTGTCTTGGTGGTACTTTTTCCTCTTGCAATTGCCTATGAGGGAAAATTAATGTTATTCTTAGTTCTCATATTTAGCTAAACTTGACCCTTGGAATTTGCAAAGTGTTTCAAGAAGTGGCCACAAAGATGACGCGATTTGACGCCGTTGGACTTTTTTTGGGGTAATGTTGTTGAAACACTTTTTAGAAGTTACGATAGCATTTTTACGTACCATGGACTTGATCTGTCGTAGCAGTGGCGTTGCAATTTTTGTCGACTGTATTCCTGACAGCGTTCGTTTCTGTGGCGTACGCCGCTGTGTTTTCTGTTTCTGCCCTTTTTCTCGCATCCAATTGAACCTAAAAAAACAAAACAAAAATAAAAGAAGCATTTTAGCGAGTCCATCTTACATCTTTGTTGTCTGTAGGTTCGATATTCTCCTGGTTGTTATCCGTCGCGTGTTTCACGTGTTTTGTCGCCACAGCCGGCAACACTGTAGCCTGTTGCGAGGTTATGGTGACCGCGGCGTTGTCGCCTGTCGATTGTTTCTCCCAATCGTAGGGATCGGACTCCTTGACGCCTCTACGCTTCATGCATCTCTCGAACAGAGATATCAGCATCTGAAATAACGTTGGCGGTCAATGTTGTTTTTCGCGCGTATTTTCTTTCCTGTAGGTCCGAGGTCAAAAATGTGTTGATAAAAATTGTAGATTTTTTAGTTATCTACAATTTTCGTTAATTATGTTTTGTCGTATATAGAACCGTTTAGAAAATATCCAGTCAGAACTCCAACGTCGTTATTTTTATTTCGCGAAAGCTTTAGATCAAAATATCTCCGCAAGTGTTTGTTGGAGGTAAAAAAAGTATTTTACATTTATTATAGGGAATTTCATAACCTACATTTTCATATACTACACTTTGATCTCCGACCTATAATATTCGCTGAAAACACATTACCTGGTAATCTGGTTTATCAGCGTACTCCAAACTCTGTATGTGGTCGAGAAATTGCTTCAAGTCGGACGGCAAATGTTTTAATAGCAACCTATGATCGTATTTTTCCTTCATCAAGCCCACTTGCTCCTTATCCTTAACTTTTCTCCACGGCAACTGACCATTTACAAACTCAACCAGCATGTAAAACAAACTCCAGAGATCATCGTGTCGACCCATTTCTATTACGTTATTTTTTAACTTTTTTTTTACTTTTTGTATACTTACTTACCTCTATTTTTGTGTGCGTTTATGCTAGCGTAGCGTACTGTGCCCCTGAAACCAGCGGCGGCCCTAGGGGCCCTAACCTCCCCCGTTGCCGTTGTGTATTGCCTCGCCAGGCCGAAATCTAGCATGTACACTTTCCTACAGTTGTAAGGAAGTCGGCCCATAGAAAAGTTGCTCTAAATTGATAATCAAAATATTATTTGTATAGGAAAATACGTAAAGTGTACAGTAGGGTGGGCCGAAAATCCGCTTTTTTAGAATTTCGTTTAGTAATAGCAAAAATTTTGTTCATTATGTTGTAAAAAAATTTTGTGTAAAAGATTAAAATTTTCGATCAACATCCTAGGCTCGCCCAACGCAATTAAAGATCAAAATGTTCAAAAAAAATTTTTCTTAATTTATTTCGATCGGAAATTTTATGCTCTACACAAAATTATTTCAGATGGATAGTTTCAGAAATTTGTTCATTATGTTGTAAAAAAAAATTGTGTAAAAGATTAAAATTTTCGATCCTCATCCTAGGCTCGCCCAGCGCAATTAAAGATCAAAATGTTCAAAAAAAAATTTTCCTAACTTAATTCGATCGGAAATTTTATGCTCTACAAAAAAGGTCCTTACACTAAATTACTTCAGATGGATAGTTTTAGAAATAAAACCGATTTTAGTATCAAAATTGTTTTGAACATTTTGATCTTTAATTGCGTTGGGCGAGCCTAGGATGTTGATCGAAAATTTTAATCTTTTACACAAATTTTTTTTACAACATAATGAACAAAATTTTTGCTATTACTAAACGAAATTCTAAAAAAGCGGATTTTCGGCCCACCCTAGTGTACAGGTTTGTATTATGGAACGCCTGTATAATTATAGAACCAAAGATACTAACTTATCAGACACAAATTATCAGGGTGTTATGTAATTTATGTAATATATATTATAATAACCTTAATCCTACCAAAAAGTACGCCACTGATCGACTAGGAACTTTAGGCTAATCTGGTTGCCTAATTTAATTTATTATGTTATGGTTTACTAATTTTGATCATAGTAGGCATAATATACTTTTCTCTATGGTAACCTACCATTGGAAGCATGAAAGATAATTTGACAGTTCAGTTTATAATTTGCAAATGACTGTTAAAACGAATAAACTAAATAATAATTATAGACAGTGTCAGCAAGTTAGAAATTATAACCTACTTTAATTTAATTTTTGCTCCACCAACAAGCTTTAATTAATTTTTTTACTCAATAAGCAAGCTTCAATTTTAATTCCAAACTGAGGAAAGTAATATTTACCCAATAAATAAATTAGAATAAAGACTTTATTTTTTATGTTGCGATCGCCCATTTAGATATATGTATATTTTTATTCAGTTGTTTTTCGCTTTTTTGTAATTGGTTATTTTGCATTTTTTTATATTTAATGTAATACTATACAGGGTGTTTCTGGAGAAACGCAAACGATATGGGTTTGAAATTTTAATAGCATATACAATTTGATTTAGACTATACCTAAAGTCAATAGTTTTCAACATATTAATTTTTTTCGTTATAATTTTGCTAAATGCACGTTAATCAAAAATAGCCTCTAATTTTTTTGTTATTATGTTTGCTGACATGGGGTTGGAATTTTGGAATATTAAAACATTGTTTAAATAATTTAATTTTTTAAAGGTTTTTTAACAAATAGCTTGAGAAAAAACACTTGAAATTAGGCAAACCATGTATGTATAATCAAATAGAAAATTAAAGAATCTTTCAATTGGTATTATAATAACTGTTTCCTAAAGTTAAAATTTCAGAGACATTTAACAATTTCTAATATTTTCAATGATATTTTGTATCAAAAAACCTGTGAAATTCTACATGGTTACCACTTAATCTGTCATTGTTCAAAATTAATTAAAATATTTGATTGAATAATGAATAACTCGAAAAATATTGACTTTAGGTATAGGATATGGTATAGCCATTTTACTCAGAATTTTATGTAGAATTAAAAAATGTAAAAATATATGAGGTGTCCTGTTTTAAGTAACAAAGTTAAAGACATTTCCGGTAAAACAGGAAGTATTATTTTGTTCAAAATAATTTAGGAAAAAAGTCTAAATCAAATAATTCACGCTATTAAAATTTTAAATCGATGTCTTTCGCGATTCCCTAGAAACTTCTAACGGACTACGTACGTGAAACACCCTGTATATTAAACGTCATTTATGTGTTATGCTATACTTAATTATTAATAAAAGATACAACAATATTTGTATAAAAATGACAAAATGCACTAAACTAAACATTTATAATACTGCTACTGCTAATTCAAAATTGATCCTGACCACAGAAAGATAATTTGCATAAAAAAGTTAATATACCTATCAAATAATAGTCAAATATTAATATTTTAACATGTTATACTCAAAATTATAAAACAAAGTTTATTTACCCTTTAAAAATTGTTTTAAATTAAATTATCTACATTTTGTCCAAATTTCAAATCGATACGTTTTGAAGAAAAAAATAAAAATAAAAACTAAGTTGTCAATGGACGAGATTTTAGTACTTAGTACTGCATTTAGATGTAGAAATAAGGTAAAAAATTTTAATCGATTTCTTGAACCCTTGCATATCTTTGGGAAAATATTTTTTTTTAATATTTTACCGTTACACTTTATGTCAAAAGGTATTCAGTATTTTAATATATTACATTAATTACATAACACCCTGTATCGACACTTGCTATTTGTAGAATAACAAAAAACAATAATAAACTGAAAAAGTTTGACCTTGAAATAATAGTTACTTATGTCATTAGGTTAAGAAGTAAGGCTTTTTGTGCTAAGCTCAATTGAGCGAAGCACAAAAAGGCACTTCTTGGCCGAATGGCATTTAACATTTTATCTTCAAAGCACTTTATATAGGTCAATTTAATTCAACATCAAATCGGCCTAACCTAACTTTTTTAGAATCTCATTTATTTATTAGCTAAAGATTACATTAAATGTACAATAATTATTATTGCTTTTAGAAGCAGTAATAGTTTGACAATACCTATCAACATGATTTAAGTAGAAATGGATTTTTGCCATTACATTGAATTCAATTAATTGTTTAATAAATAGGTAGGTATCTAATTTCAATTTGTTTGGATTTTTATTTAAAAATTAGGTAGTTTGGAATGTTTAAGCTGTGTTTAACATTTAATTTTACTGAAAACTTAGAAGCAAATTAAAACTTAAAGATAATTTAAATCGTAGAAAAAGAATCGTGCGTTTTCTTGGTTGCTTAACCTCACTTTTTGTTTTATTATTCATATTTAATTTTACAATAATTTAATGAAGAATATTAAACATTAACAGTAAAACAAACAAATTAGTGCTTATTATAAATAAATTAAACCAGTTTAGTACGTTAATTTCTTAGAAAAGGATTAATTTGTCAAAACAATACCCCTAGCGAGAAAAAATCGAACTAATGTTGACAACAATAAAGTTTAAATTATAGACCGCGTGGAGATATAATATTTTATGAACATTTCTTCTATAAACACTGTATAATACATTATCAACAATTTTTTGCACTTACCGGTTTAATATCACGGTGGAGAAAACCTACAGAATGTATGCTTTCTATTGCTCTTAAAATTTGAAGGCCCAAACGCAAAGTTGTCGACAGGCTGAATGCAGCCCTTTGCTGGGCCCGACGCAATTCGGCCAAATTACGGCCCTGCAGTTGCATAACGACGTAGTTGAAGCGGTCATTGCGGCCGCAACCGATAAATCTAAAAAGAGTTTTTACATTGTTTTTTGCATACTTTCCTTTACATTAAAATTTAATTCTAAATATATGGGTCATTTTAAAATTTTATTACTCTTTCATTAGTAAGTTACCACTAAAGTGGGGAACAATTATTGAGTTCCAAAAAGGTAACAAATATGTCACTAGCTATAAACCCTGCTACTATTTGGAACGTAGCTGCTACGTTACTAGAACGTTCCAATATCGTTGCTAGAGCGTTATAATTACTTTTATTTATTTGTTTTACTTCTATATTAACTGTCTTTGTCAAACTTATATTAGATTATACTATCCCTCCTTTTTTAAATGGAACCACTACGGACTTGGCTTTTCAATGTCGTCGTTTATTAAATATGTACTGGAAGTTTATAACTTCCAGAATAGCAATATAATGTTTAATTAGGCAGGTAAATTTGTAAAACCATTAAATTTTACTGTTGAACATGAATTTAGTTTTTGTAAAATAAATGCGCTTTATCAATATTTAAGTATAAACAAATTATTTATATAATGTTTATAAATAAAAAAATCTTAATATTTATTATTAATTTTTTATTTAATTATTACCAACAAAATTACTATTTATTAAAAAGTAAACAACCATTTACAAACAATTAAAATAATTTATTATTTACATTACCACGTGGTACTGTACAGTAAAAAATGGCCGATAAGAAGCATTTTCCTTTGAAGTAGTTTTCGCTACTTTAAAGTTTTTTCCACCTTAATTTACTTTACGGTAGTTTTGCACGGTGCTGTTCTGAGAGGTGATTTTTGGACTTTCTGTGAAATCTATTTTTTTTTATATTCTTGTTAATTAGGTCATAACTAAAATTTTAAAAGCAAAATAAAAAAAATTTGACGGTTAATTTTGTTTTAATTGGATTTTTATTAAAAATATGTATGCACACTTTCAATTCTCCAATTAAAACTTGCGATTTTATTTAAATATTATCATAACTTTTTAAATCAGATTAAAGATTAGTTAATTTCCTAAAAAAGGTCTATACATTTTTTATATCTTTTACTGTTTTGTTGTAATACACGTTTAAAGTTTTAATTTAAGGTTAAATGTATAGTATACATTTATTAAACAATAATTCTAAGGGTGCCACATTTTATTTAGGGCCGATTTATTCATTTTTGATTTATTTGACGAATAATTTCTTTGGATACTAGATATTTCCAAAACATGAAAATTATCCGCCCGATAAACTTTACTAAAGATGAATAAACCGGTCCTTAGTTAAATTTCATGAATTTCTTCGCAACTTTTACTACAATTTTTCATTTTAGTTTATAAAAAACACATAAAAAAACTAAAAAAAAATTATAGAATACGTATACTGAAAATGACAATTCAAACATCAAATATATTTTTAATAGATTCATAGTTACATGGCAACCTTTAAGGATATATTAATTAAGGGAACATATATGTATACGTCAAAGGTTAGATTAAAAGTTTGAACGTTTATGGAACGCCGTTGTATTTTTTAATCAGGAATTTTTGTTGCAACTCCAACTGCTGCTGTCATATTTTTAATTGTATCGATTATTTTAAACAATATTTTTAACTCAACTAGTTTTATACTCAAAATTAATTTGGAATTAAAAATATCAAAGTGTCACTAAAATTAAAGTCAATTTTTAATTCAAAGTGATATTTGTAATTCACAGGAATTATCGATATCAAAGTGACCAGAAAATTCAAGTTAATTTTTAATTCAAACTGATATTCATAATTCGCATGAATTATAAATATCAACTTGAATTTTTAATTCAACCTATTTTCAACTAAAAAATTATGTAGAATTAAAATATTAAAGGGAAACTAAGAATTATTTGATATTTTTAAATGAAAGACATATTTTTAATTCCCACAGTTTGGACACCCCTGGAAATGTTGACGGTTCAATTTATCTACTACAGTAGATATATTTGCTTTAATCTTAGTTAAATTATTTTGCGGCACTGTTTGTTTATATAATACCGTTTTTATTAATAATAGGCATAATAATTAATATAAATTAAATTACCTAATATTTTAAATATTTACATAGGTATTCTCATAAATCGTTAAGTAGGTCAACTGAGTCAGTTGAACTACTACAAATTTGACAATGCGAGAATTTCCCGCCGGGGGGAAACCTAACCTTCTTTATCTCCCTAGATAAATCCATCTACATAGGTAAGTATTAATAAAAACGTTATTATATAAACAAAAATAGTGCCGCAAAATAATTGAACTGAGATTAAGGCAAATATACCTACTGTAGTAGATAAATTGAACCGTCAACATTACCAGGGGTGTCCAAACTGTGGGAATTAAAAATATGTCTTTCATTTAAAAATATCAAATAATTCTTAGTTTTCCTTTAATATTTTAATTCTACATCATTTTTTAGTTGAAAATAAGTTGAATTAAAAATTCAAGTGGATATTTATAATTCATGCGAATTATGAATATGAGTTTGAATTAAAAATTAACTTGAATTTTCTGGTCACTTTGATATTGATAATTCCTGTGAATTACAAATATCACTTTGAATTAAAAATTGACTTTAATTTTAGGGTCACTTTGATATTTTTAATTCCACATTATTTTTGAGTTTAAAATTAGTTGAATTATAAATATTGTTTAAAACAGTTGACACAATTAATTGTAATTACAAATATGACTTTTAGTTGAAGTTACAACAAAAATTCCTGATTAAAAAATATTTTGGCGTTAACGGAACGCCAAAGTACTTTTTAATACCTATAATTTTAGATATCTGAAATTAATTTCAGATATCTGAAATTCAAAAGTGATATTAGAAATTCCTGATTAAAAAATACAACGGCGTTCCATAAACGTTTATTGCAACAAAACAGTAAAATTTATAAAAAAAATTGTAAAAACCTTTTTTTTAGTTATGCAAATATTAAATATTTAAATTAAATCGCTATTTTTAATTGGATAATTGAAAGAGTGCATAATATTTTTAATAAACAGCCAATTAAAACAATTCAAACCGTCAAATTTTTTTTATTTTTCTCTTAAAATTTTAGTTATGACCTAATTAACAAGAATTTAAAAAAAAATTAGGTTTCACAGAAAGTCCAAAAATCACCTCTCAGAACAGCACCGTGTTTGGTTAGTACCATAAACGTTCCAAATACTAAAATAATAACTTTTAAGTTATTAACTTTGTAGTTTTTAACTCATGTTCCAGTTTCGAGATTTTAACTTGCAAAGGGACTACAAAGTAAAAATAATTATAATTTAATCTTTAGGTAGCAATCGAAAGTAACTGCTACAAATTAAATTTACTTGAAAGTTTTTTTATTTATAACACCTTTTTTAAAGTTGCAAAGTCTTTTGGGGGCAACCAAGTTTTACTTAAATGTTTATTACTTTATAGTAACCATTTAAGGAAAGAATGAAGTTTCTGTTACAAAATATTGCAATTTAAAAGTTAGAATTACTTTTAAGTAAAAATTAAAGTAGGTAGCTGTTTAGTATACTTAACTAATTTAAATTACACCCCTCCATAAACAAAATTTAAAATAAAACAGGTTTTTAGATTAAGTTTATTTTTTACTTCTTTCTTCTTTAAATGTAGAAGAATTTTGAAAATGACCCATATGGAAATAATTTATATTTATCTTTCATGTTAAAAGCTCATTTTCTCGTTGAGATACGACAATAAAACAATTTGAATTTTATTATGCATAATAAGTAGAAAAGTCTTACCAAGACTGTATTAAATATTGATCACTCAAATATGTGCATACACTGAATAAAATTTAATTTGAATTCACTTTATTGAATTTACAAGAAATATGTAGATCATACACTTTTTGTAAAATACCTCAGCTCCACTGAATTTTAGGTAAATATTGTTATATGGTCTTTTTTTCAATTGTAATTATTTACGTCATACAAAAAATAAGTGAATTTACTTAAAAAAATGACAATTTAGCCAACTTGGGACTTTTGGTGAAAGTTGTTCATATTATCGATTTCAAACGAAAAAAATTTGAATTAAAAAAAAATGGCAATGTCAAAATTTTGACCTTAATTTTTTTGTCGTCTTAATAAAAAATAATTATTGAGTGGATTCAGTTAATTTTTAATATTTTTTTTGTATAAAGAAAAAATACACCCCCAATTTAAAAAAAAAATAACAATCGAAACATTTTTGACCAAGTTATCGCATTTTAAAAAAAAATTCTGCATATTTTTTATACGCTAAAGAAGGATCGGATTTTCGCAGGATGGAATTCGGTAAATACATTTGTTGGTGTAGAATTAACTAATGATAACTTTACCTAATATAATTTATATTTAAGTTTGGACATTTTGAAAAAATTGGTAAAAAATAATGTTTGCACAAACATAACCTTAAAATCAACCATATTTATATTTGAGTTCTCTAAAAAACGCCGACAACTGCATTTTAAACAACAAAATATACCTACGAATTCATGGCAACATAATATTATATATAATTCATAATATAATGGTATTTTACCGTTGAGTGGACTTTCTTAATCAACGCTTTTAATAATGCTAAATGCTGTTTAAATTTAGACGACTTATTTGTTTGACGATTTTTACTGAATTGAAATGTTTACACTTTTCACGTTAATCACTATTAAAATGTGTATTTATTGTATAGGTACAATTTATATTTACAGAGGCTGTATGCAATTTATTTCTTCATTCGGATTAACACTGTTTATTGGAAAACCGGTGAAATTTCAACCCAGGATTTCCTGTCGAAATACACCCAACAACACAACAAATCGAGCCACGGTTTTTTTTCGATATTTTTTAACATTTTCCGGCTTTATTCTCAAAAACACTCGTTTGCAACACACGCGTTTGACAGCTGATTATCGAAAGTTTTACTTTTGTTACGAGTGGTGGCGCTAGTAGCGATACTTCTTTAGCGCATTATAAACTTTTACTTGTAAACTTACCGGCATATGTGTTCTTTTCCTTGCAATTTTTTTAGAACAGCCACTTCCATCTTAAGCACCTGTTTTGGCTGGCGGGCCGATTCTACTTTTAGAGCCACTTGTTCTCGAGTAATTAAGTCAAGGCCCTCGTAGATTTCCCCGAAACCGCCGCCGCCTATTTTTTTTATCACCTGAAATACGATTTTTTATTTGTCAAGTGATTTTTAGCAAAAAAAACTTTAAATCGCTCACAGAAATATTTTTTTTCATACAATTTATAAAGAATTTCGGATTCAGCCTTATAAAGTGAAATCATTTCACTGAAATGTCAATCGAATTCAGATGGCCATGAAAAGTAACAAAAGGGCATCCGCACTCTAGATGCGCCCCCAAATTGGCCACAAAAATCACGGGTAAAGCGATTTTGGGCGTTTTAAAGTATTTTAAGAAATTTTTCGAAATTTTAAAAACATATTTCTTACCTTCCATCTTTCCTTAACTACGTGTCCGGGCTGAAGAAGGTCCTCCGAAGTCATCGTGATATTATTATTTTGATCGGTTGATCCCCCTTCGAAAAACTCCTCCCAGGTTAACTTGTTTGCCCTGAAATCGGCATAAAAAATGCGAATTTATTTTTTACAGGCGACATTTTTGGCGTATTGAGCGCCCGAGTTATACAACCCCCGATACGCTGGACACACAGCTGACTAGATAGGGCGCATGACGCGTCGTCTAGACAGCTAGGTGCAACCAATAATCCTTTCTCAAAAATAATAAAATTTATTAATATCTACAAACTAAATCATTATAGTCGCCCCTCGTATACCACCATAAAATAAGTGAATTATTAATTATTAAATCACTGACGCCCAGCAACGGCCGGTCACCATAATTTACGAAAAACGTCTTTTTATAGCCCGCGGGCGTTATTATGGCCCAGCGGGCTATAATGAAGCGTCAAAAATTAAAAACAACAATGTTACACCATTTGATATATTCTAAGTAAGTTTTTTCGTATAAAGATTTTGATTTTACCGGCAGCAGGCCGCAATTTTTCGCCTTTTCAGCTGCTTCCTTAATTTCATTTATCTTTAAACTTTAAAACTGACTGATGTCAGTTGACCTTATAATATGACAATTATAACAAAAATTCTTTGACGTAAACGTCTTTAAAAACAATAATATATTAAAAATAATAATAAATTAATCGTGCATAAAGTTTTGTATGCATTGCTGGCATAACTGGTTTTTATGGTCCTACGACGCTTTTCTAGCCCTCGCGCTAACGCGCTCGGGCTCGAAATAGCGCCTCGAACCATAAAAACCTTATTATGCCCTTAATACATAAATAACTATTACATTCTTAAACCAAAATACGTGGTTACATAATTGTTATTTGAACGCAATACATTCTCGCAATTAAAACATTTTCAAGGAAAAACTATTTAGGACACCCCTAAATAAATAAATCGATATATAATCAACAAAATAAACAATCTGAGGGTGCAGGATCGACAATTGCACCTATACGCGTAGTGTCGGTGTGCGCATGCGCGTGAGCTTTAAAATTTCCTAGCCTCCTACATACAACACTAATGTATTGATTTTTAAGGGTAGATTTTTGAAAAAAACGTAAAAATTAATCATCTTAAGGGTTTTAGTTTTAAAATTAATCATGCAAAGGGGTTATTTATTTATTGTTTTAATATTTTGAGGTAATTTTTTAAAGAAATGTATAATTTTTTGTGGTTATTTAGTTATTTTTGCAATATTAAAATTGTTAATGTAGTAATATTTAGGCAATTTGTGTATATTAAATGTTATAACTGCCTTGGATGTATTAAATTCTTAAAATATACCTTCCTATGACATTTTAAATGACATTGGTTTTAAAATAGGTAAAAAACTTTACAACAAGCCCAAAGTATTACTTAAGGAAGCCAAAAAATCATGCAAAAACGTAAAATAAAGAACGAAAAAAATTGTGCTTTTTATCGGCAGGTGCAAAATCTTAATTTCTTACGTTTATCTTTTGTTGTGGTATATTTGGCGGCCATCTTTTAACACTGCCGTGAGGATAGGTGCGAGTTTTGGCGCACTTTTTTAAATTTTGAATTTATCTGTTTGCTGGGTGATTTTCTATGGGTTTTGGTTGATTTTTTACACTGGAATTTTTTGATTGACTTTGACAGTTTTACACGTCAAAATTTAGCTTCCTTTACCGTACAGTGTGCACTAAAACAGTACTTTATACAGGGCGTTGTTATTTTTTACACTATTAAGTTTTTTCGATTTCTACGAAAGCCCTTGAGGAATTTTAATATTTGGTTTACATAGAGAGTCTTTAAAAAAACAAAATATTATTAGAATCCCTTTATTAAAGGGTAATATTTAAGTGATAAAAAGGGTTTGAAAACTCAATTTTAGAGCTATGGATTAAAATGAATGATATACAATAATTATTGCAAACCCTAAGAATTCTAAATACCTATATTTACGTATAATTACACAAATCTAAAAATAGAAGTACAACTTCTATTTTTAAATTTATTGCATAACTATAATTATTTGCATATGTATTTCGTTTATATTATATAAATTTTCTAAAATTAAACTTTTTATTTTATTGGTTTTTTGAACTTAAATTTAATATTGATTTTATTATTAATTAAAAATTGTTTTTCTATTGTATAATTTTGACGTTATTTGGGTTTTCTATAATAATTATTGTAATCATTATAACCAGACTAACAACGGGAATAATTAACTCATTATTTACGTTGTTATGCATCAGTAATTAAACGATTTCAATATTCACTGGGATTTGAACCAATCAGGTTTTAAATAGGGAAAAAGTGAGGTTGGAACAGATGTCAGATTTTTTATATATACCAGGGGCACCTATAATAATAATGATCTTTAAAATTAAAAGAAAGTGAGGTTATAATAAATGTTGTTACTAATAAAAATTACTTATTTGGAGATTTAACATACTATAATATTACACTAGAAATATTGCGCATTATTCACTCGGCTGATTTGCGTCTCTTACATGGCGGCTCGTGACGCAAACCTCATCAAATCAAATCTTGTTAGTAATCAACGAAAAATATACCTATATTTGGCCACTCTATATATAATTTTTAACAATAATGTTTTAAAATAAAAATAAATTTACCTGTAGATAAATTCAGCATGTTTGAAGGAACTTTTAAAATACTAATTTTTTAACAATTAATTGTTAACCTTTTTGTTCTTGACATACGTCAAAAATATATTGCCAATTAATAAAACAAAATGTTACTTTCTTTTTGTTTTTGCCCCACTGTGCAATGGTGCACTCTATGACTTTGCCGGTCTACAAAAATTAGGTTACAACGCGATAAATTAAGAATTTTTAAATAAATAGGAAATGCAAGTTTTATTTTTAGTGATATATTTATTTTTGTTAGAAAGAAATGTAGAGATGAGTGATATAGACACGTCTTCGTCTATATCTTCTAAAATATTTGTGCTACAGAAAAATGTTAATAACGAAAATTGCGCATTTTTTAATTCCGTACAAAAAATATTACCATAATATTTGTCAAAAAGTTATTAATAAGTGAGATATTATAGCTTTAGTCCAAAAAAGCACTTTACTTTTAAATCCTAGACAATGCAATTAATTAAATCAAGTTGCTTTCGACACAGGCAAGGTTGATGAACCAATCAGAATTCGCGTCTTCCTCTTGGCCAACTTAATTTATCCGCGTTCCTTCAAATGCAACCTGTTAATTGTTTTGTATGGGTGATTCTAGTGAAAGGTTACAACAAAGAATATTTATGTATTAAAAAAAGTGCAAACTTTTGCAGCCAAATTAGTTGGCTGATAAAAAACATAAACTGCATTCTAAATTTGAGTAACCTTAAAAAATTGGAAATTTTGGCTTTTGGAATGAAAACAAGTAGGTACATACTTTTATGATTACCTCAAAAATAGAATTTTTTAATTAATGGTATATAATAAGTATTTTATTCCATAAATCAAAAAAAACAAAACAATTTTTTTTGCTTCCAAAAATCTCTTACCATTTCATTTTAGGTATTCCAAAAAAATAACACAAAAAACTCACATAGTCTTAATAAAAATAATCAAACAACAAAAATCAACAATTTTTTGTTTTTTTTAACTATAGGTAAGAAACAACAAATATTTTTTAAACGTCGGCCACTTTTGCTTAACTGAATTTACAATTATTTTAGACCTCTCTAACCTGGCCAGTTAATGCCTCCAGGGCCGTACTCCACTATTTATTTATAAAATGCACAAAAAAATGGTCAAAATATGTATGTATCCAGGTATTGTATGCTCTAAGATTTGAAATTTTACTAAGAGTATATAAAACATGGATAAACCTTGGAAGGTGCAAGTGGTATAATAAAAGGTATTTCAAGACAGATCTAAAATTAATTTTAAAAATTTTCGTAATTTTGGCATATCTATGTTTTTAGACGACACGTTTTGATAATAGTGAGCAATATAGTTAAGTATTATTAACCTATTTTTTTCTGTCAAGTTTGGATTTTTTCCAAAAATTTATACTATATTGTTGATTTGGGATTTTGATTTGGGTAATTAGAAAAAAAACTATTATTATATTTTGTGTTAAATAAATAGGTTAATAATTTAAACGTAAAAATTGCAGTTGTGGGAAAACGTCTTTAACATTTTATGGCCCGCAAAGTCAAAGATTTAACCCCGCTTGACAAAAAATTCTTAACAACAATTTTATCAAAAAAATTAATCTAAGTAGTAATAAAATGCCCCTAAAACATTTTTTTAAATAGACCTGGTTTATCTATTTTTAAAAGAGCAATGAATTGACAAATTTCAGTGGGTTCTTTGTTAGAAACTCAACACAAAACTATTTATAGGACAAATTACCTGTGAGCACAATTTAAGCATTTTAAACACCTGTTCTAAATTAAATACGTTATAATTAAGTGTATTGGCACGATATACAGTGATATATCACATACGGATTGTTTTAATAACATTTTAGGTTCATTTTAATGTCTATGCGGTTTTAAACTTTTGAAATGCGCGGTTTTTCTGATTTAGTTCGCCTACTGATGGACAGATGTCGCTGCGTTTTGACAGTTGTAAATGCAGGCCGGCAACTTAACGGCAATCAACATATGGTTCTGTCCAATGCGGTCTACTCTCGATATTTTAAGACCGGCCATCTTTTTAGAGTATAGGTGTTTGTTTCGCAATTTCGATCAAAATTAAATTTGTTATTAATGTCAGAACCACAGTCATCGTTATTATTAAGAAAACAGCTAGCAGGTCAGTAGAAAAATCGCTTTTTTTAACGCACACAAGTTTTTGGTTAGGATTTGATATTTTTGTTCCTATGGCGTTTTTTCGCGGTTTCAGGGCCTGATTTTGACCGAAATAGCCGCACTGGTTTATTTTCGCGACAGAAATGTCAAAAATTACACGAGTTGGTTTTTTATTTATTAGTTTTAGCTCGAAAATCAATAACCTTAGTTAAGGCATTTTTTCGCGATTTTCATACATTACAGCAACAAAATCCACCGAATAAGCCACAATAACAACAAAACATCGCGTAGATAACCTGCAATTAATCACAGGAACATCAAAAATTGTATTTTAATGAACAAAATTCCACCCTTCATAAATATTGCATATTACCTAGAAAAATCTTTTTAAATCGGTTGTGCAACTTATTCCACGCTTCCTGGTCGTATTTTTAACGAAACTAACCTTGCAAATTTCACAATAAGCAAGAAATATCAATTTCTATGACCTTGGGGAGTAAACGTGAACATAACCTCGAAATTTTGGTTTCTGGAAGGGTTGAGGAATATGATGATTTATTTCAAGAATTAAATAAAAACTGATGGGTTTTTTATTTACTAAGATCATTATTTTATGACATAAATTATTGTCCATAATTGAAAATGCAGTTTTTTAAGAATAAATTTTTTTGACAAATCAATATTATCAATATTTTTTTTTAGAATTAAATAAAAACCCTGTTGAGGGCTTTTCTGCCGGTTTAATAGACGATAATGACATTTACAGATGGGAAGTACTTATTATTGGACCTCCAGATACACTCTAGTAAGTGGAAATTAAACATAACCCTACATATGATCGTAGGTGCTGAATTTTTGATTTTTTTTGTAGTGAAGGAGGTTTTTTCAAATGCCATTTATATTTCCCAAAGGAGTATCCACTTAGGCCGCCGAAAATGAAATTCGTTACAGAAATATGGCACCCAAATAGTAAGAAAAAAAAAACGCCATATAAAAAATGCAAAACAACGATTTTTCTTCTTTTTAGTTGATAAAAATGGTGATGTTTGTATATCCATATTGCACGAGCCCGGTGATGATAAGTTTGGTTATGAAAAGGCTTCGGAAAGGTGGTTGCCCGTGCACACTGTAGAAACTATTTTAATATCAGTTATTTCAATGTTAGCCGATCCTAATGATGAGTCACCAGCGAATGTTGATGCTGCTGTAAGTGTTTTTATTTTTGTTTCATTATTTTCAGGGTTACCATAAAGGATGTACCAACTTTCAAAATTAAATATTTCTGGGGAATAAATTGTAGTGTTTTGAATGTAAAAAAGGTTGGGAGGAATTCTTAAAATTTTGGAAGTTAACAAAATTGTTTTCAAGATTTTAAAAATTTACAAAACTTTTAAAACTTAATTATGGTTTTGCGTAAAAATCGAACAAATTTTGGACATTTTGTCACCTGAGAATTATTTTTTTTTAATCAATTTAAAAAATAAATAAATTTCGATATTTTGTATTAACATTTTTATTTAAAAACGTATCGATTTGAAATTATGATAAAATGTAGACCTTAATAATGGTAAAAATTCCACGTATTATTTTTTTAAATTTTACCATTTTTTAAGGGTTCAAAATTCGAAGAAGCAACGTTGTTTTATAATTTTGAGTATATCATGTTAAAGTACTAATAATTATCTATTATTTGATATATAAACTTCTACATGCAAATTATGTTTCTACAAGAGACATCATTTTTAAGTTAGGACTTCAAAGGGCATAATACTAACGTGTTTTACAAAGTATATATTCTTTTATCTAGTTTTATAAGATAATGTATTATGTATTACATATTATATATAATATATTATATATAACATACAATTCTTACATATTTATTTAAAAAAAATCGCCATAGATGGAGCTAAATTTTTTTCAAGTTTACTAAGTTGCAAATGACTGATTGCGTTTCAATTTATAAGTGTACTATAAACTCAAATCATTAATTTATTAAAATGATTAAACTTAATAATTATAATTAATTAATAATTATTGAGTCATTCCAAATAAAAACACCAAATGGGGTGCGCTGCTTGATTTTTTATTTTGATAAAAAAAATTGAGGATGATCTTTTAGGTATCAAATATGAAAATCCGTTGCCGTTTTAATTTTTGGATTCTTTACTTTTAATCGGCGCCCTTTAGAAATCTGAAATCGTGTCAATTTCTTACTCTCTTATAGTGGGCCAGAACTTTTTTCTATGACAAATATTGAAATTATTTTAGTTTTGTTTTACTGTTCAGTAAGTGTGTTTTCGATATAAATTATTATTATCCAATTAGTTAATCTCATAAAAGAATGGTAAACCACTAAAGATTCATGATAATTTGCCAATTTTTGTGATTTTTGTCTGGCTCCTGTGCCTATTCTGCTAAATCTAGAAAGTTTTTTTTTTTCAGGTATCAAGTACTTATTCAATAGAAAACGTAACTATTATTTTAAGTTTCTAGACTATCATTTTCTTTATTAAAAAAATTATTGAAACTTGATCATTTTCAAAATTAGCCAATTTTGCCCTCAGAAATCATTATGTTGAGGAAAAAATGAAAATCTGAAACTTTCAGGAAATGGAGTCCCTACCTTCATCTTTTCAGTCTAGTTAGTCTGGTTTTGTTATTTTTATCCATGTAAAAGATAAAATAATTTTTTTAATGCAGTTAAGAAGCGATATTGTTAGTTTTGTTTATAATTTAAAATTTAGATGGCTTTGAAAATTTTGCCCTCAGAAATCATTATGTTGAGGAAAAAATAAAAATCTGAAACTTTCAGGAAATGTAGTCCCCACCTTCATCTTTTCAGTCCAGTTAGTCTTTTTTTTGTTATTTTTATTCCTTTAAAAGATATATTAATTTTTTTAATGCCCGTTTAGTAGCGATATTGATAGTTTTATTTATAAAGTTTAGATGGCTTTCATGTTTGGTGGAGAAGTGTCAGAACTGTCAAAAATATTTCATAAATATTATTTGTGCGTATTTCTTTGGTAAATTTTGTAAATAACATAATATGTTATATTATGTTACTAATAGTTACGTTTTCTACTGTATAAGTACTTGATACCTGAAAAAAATCAACTTTCTAGATTTAGCAGAATAGGCACAGGGGCCAGACAAAACTCACAAAAATTAGCAAATTATTACAAATCTTTAGTGGTTTACCATTCTTTTATGAGATGAACTAATTAGATAATAATAACTAATATTGAAAACATACTTACTAGGCAGTAAAATAAAATTACAAACATTTCAATAATTGCCACAGAAAAAAAGTTTTAGCCAAATAAAGCAACTAAAAATTAAAACGGCAACGGTTTTTCATATATGATACCTAAAAGTTCATCCTCAAATTTTTTCATTAAAATAAAAATCTTGCAGCGCACTTTTAAATTCATTTTTGGTGTTTTCATTTGGATTGACTCTATAGACAGTGTCAACAGGTTAAAAATTATAACCTACTTTAATTTTATTTTTTGCTCCACAACCAAGCTTTAATTTATTTTTTACTCCATAAGCAAGCTTTAATTTTAATTCCAAACTGAGGAAAGAAATATTTACCCAATAAATAAATTAGAATAAAGACTTTATTTTTTATGTTGCGATCCGGCTATTTAGATATATGCATATTTTTATTTAGTTGCTTTTTTGTAATTAGTTATTTGAATTTTTTATATTTAATATAATGCTATACAGGGTGTTTCTACTTACTATCCTTAATATTAATTTCAAGCCCATACTAAGGAAATGTATTGGATTTCCAGGTGATTCCATGGTGACTACCTTAATTTCCTTTCGTTTTAAAACTTATTTATAGCATATAGAACTGTCACTGCCACTGCAACTCGCAATGTTGTCGCTTTTAAATCCATTTTTTTACGTTTTTTAATTCACTTTAACTTTTTTTAAATAAAAACCAACAATAAAAATGTGTTTTTTATTTTAGAAAGAATGGAGGGAAAGTTATTCGGAGTTCAAACGGAAGGTGGCGCGTTGCGTAAGGAAATCGCAGGAGCAAGAGGAGTGTTAGTGATTTTTTTTTACATACAGGGGAATTCATCAGGAATAACTACCAACCAAACAAAAAAAAACAACAAATCAACAATATAAACTACCAGTCATAATATCGCGCTAATTTCCGAAAATACCGCCTCGATTTCAAGCGAACTTTTTTTAAGTACTTTTTTCATCAGATGTAGAATTTTTATACCGTATACATAAAATCGGGCGGAATTTTCCTTAAAAATTTCCTGCGAATATTTTGTATTTTTTTTTTAAATTTGGTTGAACATTTCAGTGGATTGTAACTATCGCCTGTATTCTAAAATTAAGTAAACATTTTTTTCGAAATCAAACTATACATTAAATTTTTTCCTGGATTACTATTTGTCTACGCGTTTAAAACAAAACTGAATGATTTTACGACAAAATTCATGTATCTTAGGTTATAATAGCTAGGTAACTTAATTTAAGTAAATTTTATTAAGAAAATAGTTTTTGAGTTTTATTTACCTACCCCCACCAAATAAAATTTTTTTTATTTTATTTATACAAATTTTTACAATCAATTTTATTACGTTAAAGTGTATATAAACAAACATCCTAATAATATTTATCAATAAAGAAAATTTAATTTTTATAAAATTCTTAGTACTGAAAAACTATTTACATTTATTTTGAGTCGATAATTTTATAATGACCTATTAATTTTTCGAAAGTTTTGAACAAATTGATGCACAAAATAGAAGAGTCAGAAAATAAAATCCTTTATTATCCAATTAAATATATTTTAGAATATTTAAAGATTCTCTAGATGGTAATCTAACCATACGTTTTTATTTTACAGTATATACAGGATCTATACAATTTTTACAAACAAAATTAACAAATGATATGTCGTTGTAATACAAAACTAAACATACATATTAAATCGGAAGTAAATTTGTAAGCGATTTAAACCTACTTCCGGTTGAACCGGAAGTGATACCGGAAGTATCGTTAATATCGATCAGAAAAAGTGCGAGTAGTTTAACAACTTCCGGTTTCGCCGGAAGTGGTAATTTACATCGCGGTGTTCTCCTCGGCGTTCTCTTCGTTTTCGGGTTCTTCCGGGAGAGTGTACACGCCCGTGATTATCGTGTTTTCGATCACTTCCGGTATTTTGGTGTTGATCGACACTATTTCGTGGTTCATGTCGATTAAGGAAGTCGGGGTTCCGGTGCTCAGTAGGGTTTCTTCCGTCAAGTTTCTGTGGTAGAAGTTGTTTTTACTGGGGAATTGTCATGAGGTTAGATTGTACGGGTCGTTTATATCGTCTGGGAAGTTTTGGGATGTTTTTTTGGTGGTGATTTTGTCTTGGTGCCTTAGTCTGTGCACGATTTCGTCGTGCACTACGTTGAAGCACATTGCTGTTAGAGCCATACCGGACATAATGTAGATGGAGCAGAACCAGATGGTTGTGTTTGATTCGTTCATCAGGAAAGGTTCATTTCCGGAAATCATGTCACCAAAACCTATGGTGGTGAGGCTCATGAAGCAGAAGTAAAAACCATCCAGTAAAGACCAATTCTCCAGCTTGTAGAGGACGAAAGTTCCGATACAAATATATATAAACATCATTATCAGACATAGTAATATTGGAGCTAATATTGACCACCCATGCATTGAGGTTTTGGACTCGTTATCATTACTCAACGAATCTATCTCTTTGACTACCCCGTCCTTATTTGGACTGTGGATGTTGTTCCCAAAATTTGAGTTACTCCTAACATAAAACGGCTCCTGCAAGCCCATCTGCTGCTGTAACTCCAACTGTTGCCTCTTCCTCTTCATCTTTCTCTCCTTTTCAGCCATCCTCTTCTCATCGTAGCAACAGTATCCACAATTCGAGCAAAGACAGCAGCACAGAGCCCTTGAGAAGACTCCTCTAGCCACTCTGCTGAGTATGGAACCGACGCTCGACAGGTACAGAAGGGTTAAAGGTATTCCTATCATTGCGTAATATATCATTTTGAAAATTTATTACCAGGGTGAAATAAGAAAAAAATATATTTTATAATTTTTATTGTATTTATACAAATTTTTACAATTAAATTGTATTACGTTTACGTGTATATAAACAAACATCCTAATAATATTTATCAATAAAGAAAATCGAATTTTTATAAAATTCTTATTACTGAAAAACTATTTACATGTATTTGAGTCGATAATTTTATAATGACCTATTAATTTTTCGAAACTTTTGAACAAATTTATTCACAAAATAGAAGAGTCAGAAAATAAAATCCTTTATTATCCAATTAAATATATTTTAGAATATTTAAAGATTCTCTAGATGGTAATCTAACCATACGTTTTTTATTTTACAGTATATACAGGATCTATACAGTTTTTACAAACAAAATTAACAAATGATATGTCGTGGTAATACAAAACTAAACATACATATTACATCGGAAGTAAATTTGTGAGCGATTAAAACCCACTTCCGGTTGAACCGGAAGTATGGTTAATATCGATCAGAAAAAGTATGCGAGTTGATTGACAACTTCCGGTTTCACCGGAAGTGGTAATTTACATCGCGGTGTTCTCCTCGGCGTTCTCTTCGTTTTCGGGTTCTTCCGGGAGAGTGTATACGCCGGTGATTATCGTGTTTTCGATCACTTCCGGTATTTTGGTGTTGATCGACACTATTTCGTGGTTCATGTCGATTAAGGAAGTCGGGGTTCCGGTGCTCAGTAGGGTTTCTTCCGTCAAGTTTCTGTGGTAGAAGTTGTTTTTGCTGGGGAATTGTCATGAGGTTAGATTGTACGGGTCGTTTAAATCGTCAGGGAAGTTTTGGGAGGGTTTTTTGGTGGTGATCTTGTCTTGGTGCCTTAGTCTGTGCACGATTTCGTCGTGCACTACGTTGAAGCACATTGCTGTTAGAGCCATACCGGACATAATGTAGATGGAGCAGAACCAGATGGTTGTGTTTGATTCGTTCATCAGGAAAGGTTCATTTCCGGAAATCATGTCACCAAAACCTATGGTGGTGAGGCTCATGAAGCAGAAGTAAAAACCATCCAGTAAAGACCAATTCTCCAGCTTGTAGAGGACGAAAGTTCCGATACAAATATATATAAACATCATTATAAGACATAGCAATATTGGAGCTAATATTGACCACCCATGCATTGAAGTTTTGGACTCGTTATCATTACTCAACGAATCTATCTCTTTGACTACCCCGTCCTTATTTGGACTGTGGATGTTGTTTCCAAAATTTGAGTTACTCCTAACATAGAACGGCTCTTGCAACCCCATTTGCTGCTGTAACTCCAACTGTTGCCTCTTCCTCTTCATCTTTCTCTCCTTCTCGGCCATCCTCTTCTCATCGTAGCAGCAGTATTCACAATTCGAGCAAAGACAGCAGCACAGAGCCCTTGAGAAGACTCCTCTAGCTACTCTGCTGAGTATGGAACCGACGCTCGACAGGTACAGAAGGTTTAAAGGTATTCCTATCATTGCGTAATATAACATTTAAAAAAATTTATGGCGAGGGTGAAATAAGAAAAAAATATATTTTAAATTTTTTTATTTTATTTATACAAATTTTTACAATTAAATTGTATTACGTTAACGTGTATATAAACAAACATCCTAATAATATTTATCAATAAAGAAAATCTAATTTTTATAAAATTCATATTACTGAAAAACTATTTACATGTATTTGAGTCGATAATTTTATAATGACCTATTAATTTTTCGAAAGTTTTGAACAAATTTATTCACAAAATAGAAGAGTCAGAAAATAAAATCCTTTATTATCCAATTAAATATATTTTAGAATATTTAAAGAGTCTCTAGATGGTAATCTAACCATACGTTTTTATTTTACAGTATATACAGGATCTATACAATTTTTACAAACAAAATTAACAAATGATATGTCGTGGTAATACAAAACTTAACATACACATTACATCGAAACGAAATTTGTGAGCCATTTAAACCTACTTCCGGTTGAACCGGAAGTGATACCGGAAGTATCGTTAATATCGATCAGAAAAAGTATGCGAGTCGTTTGACAACTTCCGGTTTCACCGGAAGTGGTAATTTACATCGCGGTGTTCTCCTCGGCGTTCTCTTCGTTTTCGGGTTCTTCCGGGAGAGTGTATACGCCGGTGATTATCGTGTTTTCGATCACTTCCGGTATTTTGGTGTTGATCGACACTATTTCGTGGTTCATGTCGATTAAGGAAGTCGGGGTTCCGGTGCTCAGTAGGGTTTCTTCCGTCAAGTTTCTGTGGTAGAAGTTGTTTTTACTGGGGAATTGTCATGAGGTTAGATTGTATGGGTCGTTTATATCGTCAGGGAAGTTTTGGGAGGGTTTTTTGGTGGTGATTTTGTCTTGGTGCCTTAGTCTGTGCACGATTTCGTCGTGCACTACGTTGAAGCACATTGCTGTTAGAGCCATACCGGACATAATGTAGATGGAGCAGAACCAGATGGTTGTGTTTGATTCGTTCATCAGGAAAGGTTCATTTCCGGAAATCATGTCACCAAAACCTATGGTGGTGAGGCTCATGAAGCAGAAGTAAAAACCATCCAGTAAAGACCAATTCTCCAGCTTGTAGAGGACGAAAGTTCCGATACAAATATATATAAACATCATTATCAGACATAGCAATATTGGAGCTAATATTGACCACCCATGCATTGAGGTTTTGGACTCGTTATCATTACTCAACGAATCTATCTCTTTGACTACCCCGTCCTTATTTGGACTGTGGATGTTGTTCCCAAAATTTGAGTTACTCCTAACATAGAACGGCTCTTGCAACCCCATCTGCTGCTGTAACTCCAACTGTTGCCTCTTCCTCTTCATCTTTCTCTCCTTCTCGGCCATCCTCTTCTCATCGTAGCAACAGTATCCACAATTCGAGCAAAGACAGCAGCACAGAGCCCTTGAGAAGACTCCTCTAGCCACTCTGCTGAGTATGGAACCGACGCTCGACAGGTACAGAAGGGTTAAAGGTATTCCTATCATCGCGTAACCCATTGTGACGGCCTTACCCAGGGTTGTTTTGGGGGCTATGCTGCCATAACCTGCAACAAAATAAACAATGTTATATTAACATGTAAATTAATGCTGAAAAAGTTGTAAATTGCACAAAGGACAAGAGGCAAAAGCGTATCACGTCAATATGTTACAAATCTTTCAATATTTGCATAGAAAATGTGGAATTTACTGAATACATTACGAATTTGGTTTTTCTTTATTTGTGGAATATTTGTTTTAGTTCTTTCTCAATCTTTTGATGTATGGTAGAGTCTCTTAAGAAGACGCTAGACGCATTTTATGGGCGCGCGGAATTGTGTTATGTTCCATTGTTAAAAAACACAGTTTCGTAAAGAAAGGAAAAAAATTAGTGCTATAAAATGACCCCAAAGAACGGTTATTTCCGAAAGCCATGTAAAGTAAACTTTATTACCGATAGCCGACTATTTACATGGCATTATTCGCTATTGTAGAATAGCCGAATGCAAATTAAACCATTTGAATAAATTTCGTCACTATCCGATATCTGACGGCTCTGTTAATAGCGAGAAAGTCAATAAACACAATTGACTGGCAAACTTTGAACGAGAATTTTACTTGATTAAACTTCATCAAATTAAGTTATACAAAGGGTTTCAGAAAACCTCTTGTTGACATAATTTCTATTTAGATAGTTGGTGTGCCTTTGATATATCAAATTACTTTCAGCATATAGCTTTAATTTAAAATTCAATACTTTGTGGGTTTTTTATTATTTCTTCTTCAGTCCAATTTGTAAGTCGCAGACTTAAGAGATGCGAATATAATGCGAACCTTGTTAAATTCTGGCAAACAAATAATATATTCAATATTTTGAATTTAGACATCAAAGGTTTCATTGGTTTTTCGATACTCAATCATTCAAATTCTCATATACAGTGAGCGCCAAAATTATTCTGATATAAAACTATAGTGGATTTAAATATAATTATATTTATTCTAAGATAAGTAAATATCGGTACGACTGGTCTATTCTTAAAAATATCCCCCACTCACGAAAATGTCCGACATTTTGGAAGATTGTTTCTTGTGTTAGTAAATATTTGGTTTGGAATTATGAAAGAGCTGCTAAATTAGTGGAATTTAATAGAATTAACAACCAAACGTATGTGTAGGTAATAATTATTACATAATAATATTTATGTGTTATATATATATATATTTCAAATATTGTCTATTCTTTTTTTAACTTTTGCTCGACTTTAAAGGTTAGGATATAATGACCATGTTTATTTTAAAAGGTAAAGAGTGGATTATCCTATCTATTTTTCTGTATCAGTCTTAGAAAAAAAGAGATAGCATAATCCAATCTTTACCTTTTGAAATTCATCATTTTGTATCTGGTCCAGAACTCTCCTTTTGTATCTACTTTTATTATTTTCACTTTTCAGCGGCGGAAAAATTAATTTACTGCCATGGCAATGAAAAAAAACTCGTGTTTCGACGATGAAGCATGGACAATGTCCATTGGACATTATATCCTAACCTTGATTTAAAGTCGATCAAAAGTTAAAAAAGAATAGACAATATTTGAACAATTATTGCTTAACTTAGGTACATAAAGATACCTATACTTATACCTATATCTATATTTAATCCAAAAGTAAATATTGTAGAATAACAAAAAACAATAATAAACAGAAAAAGTTTGACCTTGAAATAATATATTTTGAGAAAGTTTATGAACATTTCTTCTATAAACACTTTTAAATTTTATCAAACCCCCATTAAAAAGTCTTCTAATAAAAATTATAAAACATCAAAATATTATTAAAATGGCCGACAACACACAGAACTGTCATTTTGTATCTGGTCCAGAACTCTCCTTTTGTATCTACTTTCATTATTTTCACTTTTAAGCGGCGGAAAAATTAATTTACTGCCATGGCAATGAAACAACATACATATACTTGGCAAACAC